AAAAAAGAGGACCCATAATCATGGACAGTTGGTTTGTGAAAATTTTCTAGAGTATGATGTAAAGTTATTGTTGGGAATGTGGTATGATTTAGGCTTTAAATCTCTGCCTCTAATCATTTGTGGAAAAATGCAGTTAGAAGCAGGAAGTAGTCAAAGAAATCAACACATTTCTGATCCATGCTGTGTCATGCCTTTAGAGTTACCTGAGATGACACCTTCAGTGAAGAAAAATTAAATATGGACGCTATTCCTGCTGTGCATGAAGAAGAGGAAAATGTGGATGTGACTCCTGCTGTACTTAAAGGTGTCACTATTCCTTATATACCAAAAGAAAGAGGAAGGAATATGGGTACTTTACTATACCTAAAGATGAAGAAAAGAATACGGGTACTGTTTCTAGTATACCTAAAGAAGAAGAACATAATATAGGTACTTCTCCTGACCTACATAACTATGAGGACAAGAATATGGGTACTTCTCCTGACCTACATAATATGAGGACAAGAATATGGGTACTTCTCCTGAGCTACATAAGGAAGAAGAAAAATAATATAGGTACCTCCTGATCTACATAAATATGAGGACAAAAATATGGGTAGTTCTCCTGATCTACATAAATATGAAGACAAGATATGGGTAATTCTCCTGACTACATAAATATGAGGACAGGAATATGGGTACTTCTCCTGATCTACATAAATATGAAGACAAGAATATGGGTGTTGCTTCTGAGATGCATAAAGATGAATATAATGTGGATACTATCTGCTAATGAGAAAAGTGGAAATTATTATAGAGATATAAAACAATGTAAGTCTTTCAAGTTAATAGCAATATACCAAAAACTGTTAGGTTAGATGGGTTATGTCTGAAGTCTCCTTTCTAAACTCCCATAACCATATTCTCCCACTTAAATTCTAAGTTATTTATAGATTTAGCATTGTGTGAAATGAAATCTTTATCTCCTACAATGTTTTTCATGAGATATATGAAGTTGTAACAGGATTCTTGTTGTCGATATTATAACAGTCTTCATGGCATTATGGCTATTTATTCACACTAGTAACAATGGGCCTAATTTGTTGTTATAAATAAAATTTATTTAGATATTTATTATATTATTTAGATAAATACCACACACTAGTGGCTGCAAACAACAGAAATTATTCTCACTCAGTCAGGGAAGCTGAAGATACAAAATCAAACTTCTAGCCAATCAAGTAAAAGCTCTTCTAAAGTTATAGGGAAGATCTTTCCTGTTCCTGCCCCCAGCTTCAGATAGTCCCAATCACTCCCTGGTTGTGGCAGAATCCCTTCAGTCTCCACTCCCTTTCCACATGGTCTCCTGTACATCTGTATCCAGGTTTCCCTCTCTTCTAAGGACATCAATCATAACTGATTAAGAGCCCATCCGACTCCAGTATGATCATTAATTACATCTTCAATGGCTGCCTTTCCAAAGTTCAGATTCTGTGCTACTGGGGTCAGGACTTTTCTACAGTTTGGGTATTAGTTTGGACAGTGACCGTCCCTCAAAGGCTCCATGTGTTAAAGGTTTGGTCCCCAGAGGATCACTATTGGGTGGTGAGGGAACCTCTAGGAGAGGAGCCCAGTGTGAGGTCCTTAGGTCTTTGGAGTGTGCTCTCAACATGGGGTTCTCATGAGAGGGTTGTTATAACATACTGAGTGTGGACCTAAACGTGGCTCCAGACTTGCCATTGGCTCCTCTACACACTCTGCCACCTACCATTCTATCTTGGAATTTCTCAAAATGATGACAATAATGGTATCTTTTTTAAATGTGTGACTACTGGGGGACATGAAAGCATGTAATATTGAAAAAAATCATATCTTCATGAGTGTATAAAATTTTCTGTTACTTAAGTTTTGGTGAGAAGAGATACGTGTGTACATGCATGTTCAGCCATCTGGATTTAATTTACTTGATCTCTTTGTTGGGTCACTATGTACATTAGTGTTGAATTATAACCAACCTCACTGATTATTCTGAGTAGGATTCCTTGTATGTGTATGGAAATGTATATGGGGAGATCCTGATTTTTATTGAACTACACTAATCTGAAGTATATGTTCCATAGTCTAACAAAAAGTTCAAGGGCAAGTGAGTGCCTCTCTCTCTCTCTTTTTTTTAATGTCAGTAGAAACAGTGATACTATTTAGTATCTCCATAGGTATTTTGCAACCTGTTAGGTCTTTATAGTTTTTTCCCATGAATTTCCTCCCAAAATTACTTCTCAGAAAGTCATTTAGCATAAAGTTTCTAGTTTGACGTTTTTCCACATGAATTTTGGATTTGACCATTGCCAAATTTTCTTATTTTGTAGTTGAAAAATGACCAAAATATTCCTCTCTGATTCTTCTTTTGGAATTAGTCAGTGCATATGTTTTAAGAAAAAAAATCAGATAAGGAAAAATGCAAAGGACTGAGAGTTGAATAGGCTAATTGCTGAAGACTTTTGATTTATGTTTAGATGTGTTCACAACACACAATCCAAATGGCTCCGAGTCTGAAATATCCGTGAGAGCAACCACTGATCTGAGATTTGCTCTAAAAAACTGTAAGTACTGAAAGGTGCTTTTGCACATACTAAAACCCTTAAAGCAAGCTTTCAAAACAGCACTGGAATGTGTTGGGTAGAAAGAAGTGTTCATTCCCAAGTAAAACTAGCATTTCCCCTCTAAAGTAGATTCTCTGACTCTGGGACCTGATTGAATTTTCAGTCATCCCTTAGGTTCTTTCCTTTTTCACTCTCTCTCCATACAGTTGAGATTTTATGTCCACGGTGCTGATCGTTCAGAAGGCAGAGAGGTTCTTAGAAGTTCTAAACTTATCATTGGTTTGCATGGAAAATAAATTTGTAAGTTTAGGATCCTAAAAATTATACATCTTTCTTAAATGCCACACTTGTACTCCTTACTGTTTTTTATCTTCAGCTTTGAACAGGCAGAGAGAATGTTTCTGGCTGTGGCAGTTTCAATGTTGGAAAAAGCCAGACTCAGCAATGCCTGATTTCTAATAAAGCTACTTGACAAGCGTGGAATATTGAGTAATTTTAAGCCTTGGCATTTAAATTAGAACGTGACATTTCAAAGACACACTAATTAGATAAATCGCTCATGGAAGTCTTACGTGTTCACAGCAAACAGCATTTTGAATTATTTGGGATGAGAAGAGAAACCCAGCTCTTCCTAAGTGGATCAGGTGCCTCAAATTCCCTTAGGATATGGGTTATTGAGGACCACAGGACCCAAGGAAAGATTCCAAAATGCTGAATTCTGGTCCCACAGTTCAGGCTTCTGGAGGCTTGTTAAAGAAAGTTGAATTAGATAGGAAATCCCTGCCATCTTAAGTGGTGCTCCGACACAGGGGACAGGCAGGCACAGTAGGGATGACCTAGCAGAAATGTAATTTTGAGTCAAGATCACTTGCAGAAGTAAAGTCCCTATAACTCTGAGGGCAAGGAGGGTACGATGAGGCAAACCAGTGCATTTCTCCAAAGTAGAGTATAAGAGTTGCATATCAGTTTTAAGGATTACTTAATTTTTCAAGTCTTGTCTGGATGTATATCAACTCCAGTATGGGTTCTCTTTTCCATCTTGTCTTGAAGATGACTGTAATGGGGGTGGGTATTTGGCCTGGCAGTTAAGAGATCCGTTAAGATGGCCATGTGCCCGGATTCTGTTTCCAACTCTGGCTCCTGACTCCAGCTTCTGCTGATGCGGATCCTGGGAGGCAGCAGGTGATAGCTCGAGTAATTGGGTTCTCTCCACCCACGTGGCAGACCTGGGTTGCTTTCCCAGCTTTTTGCTTTGGTCTTGGTCCAGCTTGGGTTGTTGTGGGCGTTTGAGGAGTAAATCAGCAGATTGCAGTTTTTTTTCTCCTTCTATCTCTCTGTCTCTGTCTGCCTCCCAATGAAAATAATGAAAACTTGTTTAAAAGATTCCTGAAATGGGTATGTAAACTCAGTCTGAATTCTGAATTCATTCCGCCTCTCTAGAATTTCCCCAATACTGGGGCTGGCTGTACTCTATTCAGAACTTTATTGACACCTGTATAAGCAAAGTTCACTGAAATGACCAGCTACAGGGGGAAAATGACCCCCCAGTCGCAATTATTCCCAACCAAGTGACATAAGTCCCTCCAGTTGGACGCATTATAAACTGATACAGGTGTTAAGTTAGGCCTGCAAATCCTAGATTTCTAGTCCAAAATCTTTACATGCAAAACCACTGTCGAGTGTCTCCCTGCTTCCTGTCACTACACTGTCCAGCAGCCAAGCTGCTTTACATGGAGAATATTATCTCAAGACTCGTGCAAGTAACCATCTCAAACCACTTGTGTCATCCAACAGGATGTACGTCGCCTGCCCCTGGCCCTGTGTTTCCTACCTTTCCTCTTTCACAAATTCTAGGCCTATGAATCCCACCTCAGGCAAGCCATTGTCACGTGGGTTTGCCTTTCCCTTTCTTTATTTCAGGAAAATATCAATGTCTTGTCTTTCTTCTAGTTTGTTCCATTTTTTACTTAAAAAATGCCTAATCACAGATGTTGAGTCAGTATTTTTATATGCTGATAACCCTTTATTCCTTTTCCTAGATAAACTTGGCAATGCAAGTGCTGAAAAACCCAGTGAAGAAAACCTTCAGAACCCTCTCATAAAAATATTCAAAGTATTAAAATTACTACACTGTATTCATACCTGGAGCATATCATTATATGACTTAAAAATTAGATTCACTACTCTGAGCATTACATACAAGTAATAGCATGCTTAAAGAATTTATGTTGCTATATTTTTAAAGTCACTCGGAAATCTTTTAAATGGTGAATATCTAACAGGCACTTCTCAGATGTATCTGACAAGAATAGGAAGTGAGCCTTTTTAGAAATGTAACTTTCTTTTATGAAATACATATTTATATCCAGATCAAATATATATTTATAATTTAATGTGTATTTATAAATATAAACATATTGGATGTATTTTAAATATAATTATTTTGATAGATAATATAAATATTACCTGCTTGAGGAATAAACTTACCTCTGGTTAGAGTCACTGTAGTGTTTCTTAAGTTTTTATTGTTTTGGGAGGCTGAAAAATCAAAATCACCATTGTGGTCTTCTACCAAGAATATTGTTCCTTATGAAATATTTGTGAAGTCTTAACAACCTAGGATGGCTCTCTTCTAAGGTTCTCAATGAGTGGTCTAATTGAAGACAATGGATACTTACCTGTCATTTTCTCCAGTTCATACAGTCTAAGTATGTTTCTAGTAGGATTACTTTGAATTTGTTTGCATCTTTAACACTAACAAACCAAACTTATCTTACTTTTGGATATACTTCAAATTGGAAACTGATCATCCTGGTACCCCATTCTGAACTATCTTCAGTAACTGACTACTAGGTTTGAGGTCATGTTTCATTTCCTAACCAAGCGTTCATGCCTGAGACAATCCAAGCATTGCAAGAAGTTGAGAGTCTCATCCTCTGGTCACATTCCCCTTTCATATAATTGACTCCAGACTACCTGAGGCTCCCAGAGCTCCTTCAACTGCTTATGATTCTGTTTCCTCTTAGCTGGACTAACTCTCCCTTGCTTTGCTTGCCTAGTGAAACCATTTCTAGTCCTTTAAGCCTATACTGTAGCATCATCTGCCTTTTCAAGGGTTCCCAGCCTTCCCAAGTTGACTTGGGCCCTGTGCATGCCACCTCTGCCTTTCTAGTAGCGCTTCATTAGCCTGCAACATAACCAACAGTGATTCTGGTCTGCGCCACAGTGGGTTCCTTGAGCTTAGGCCTGTGACACATTTGCTTTGGGTCCGGCACATGGCAGGAGCTCTAGTTATACTCTAACTCCTAAATGACCAATGAATGAATGTTACTAAGGCTAAAAAATATCTTATTTGTTATTTTTGTTTGTGATATTAGCTATTTTTGTTCTTTTTTTTAAAACAGGAACAACCCCAAATCTGCCTGAATTTTGGACAATGTTAGCCAAAGGTAAATGCATACAGATAGGTAGCTGGGGAAATGTTTGGTTTTTTACAATTTTATGTAAGGAAGCCAAGATCTGCCTAAATATGTCTAATATGGAGTCAGTATGCCAATATTTTGTTGCCACATGTAAAAACAAATGCAAAACAAACCCAGCAAAGTGATTAAAGTGTCACACATTTTCTGATTCTCTCCCCAACCAAGAATTTTATTTTTCCTATAAATGTTAAAATCTAGTCATTCAACTTAATTTATTATTAAAACTTTTAAATAGGTTCTTGCCCAGTCTAAGATCTCTTCATGATTAAAATTAGCACAATTAGCATTGTGCATAGAAGCACATAGAAACACATGTATAAATGTAAAGAATATAGCAAAATACATACATGTATAACAGTAATGCATATATCATACAGCACACACAGAAATGTAGTCTACACATTAATCTATTCACACATAAATATTATGTGCATATATAGATGAACATCTGTATAACTATAATGAATGTGTCACAGATGTAAAAACAAGACAATGTGCAGTACATACCATATTCAGTCAATCCTCATTATTCACATATTCTGTATTTGATTTCTGAATCATTTACTTGCTAATACTTCTATCATTCCAAAATCAGTACTTGTAACACCTTTATGGTCATTTGTGGATATCGACAAATGTCAAAAAATTTTAATTGTTTGGCATGCACAGTTACACCTTGAGCTGGCCTTCAAGAGTAGCGTTAAATTGTTTAGTGTTCCTAAGTGCAGGAAGGCTGTGATAGAGAAAATACATGAGTTATAGTGATGTTTATGCTATGCAGAACATAATGACTACCTTGAATAATTAGAACAGACTATATGTATCACACACACATCCACACACATTTATACACATATTTTTTGTGAGAACTGTTGACCATAACATCACTTTATTGTTTTAACAGCTTTAACTCAGTCAACATCCGGGTTCGAGGGAAATGATTTATTTAAACCAATTCCAGGTAAGAACAAAGTATTTCACTTAATACATAAATATTCACACCCATTTTAGCATGGCAATACTGTTTCCCCAGGCGAGGCGTACTGTGTGAGGGAGGGGACTGTGATAGCTAACATCACAAGGGTGAGGCTGTTTACTGCTTTAGGAGTAATACGCTCCTGCGTATTCTTCTCCGGTTACTGTTTTGCAGATAACACCCATTATCATCTTCCTCTTTAAGATTCTACTCCTAAAACAGGTAAACCGGGTGGAGGACTGGACACATGAGTAACGTGGTCTTTTTTAAAAAGAGATTTTATTTTTAAGAAGAATTTAAACAAAGATAATTTCAGCAGAAAATACTCATACAGGGAGTTACTATGTCCCATCTCCCTCAGTTTCCCCTATTATTAACATCTTGCATTGGTGTGGTCCATTAGTTACGATTTATGAACACTGATTTGCACCTACTGATATGATTATTACCCAAAGCCCCTATTTAACACGAGGGTTTATTCTTTGTGTTGTATGATTCTGTGGGTTTTCACAAATGCAGTGTCATGGATAACACCAACACCGTTTCAGACAGAAGTGTCATTGCCTGCAAGTCCCCTATGCCCCTAGCAATTCATCCCTCCATTCCTTTCTCTGCCTGAACCCTGGGCAACCACCCATATTTTTACCTTTGCTACATATTTACCTTTTCCAAATGTTATATTGTTGGAATCATACAGTAAGTAGCCTTTTCAGATTGGCTTCTTTCACTTAGAAATATGCATTTACAATTCCCCATCTTTTGACAGCCTGATTTCTCTTTCTCAAAATATCCCATTGTATGATTTTTCCCAGTTTATTCACCTACTAAAGAACATTTTGGTTGCATATGACTTTTAATAATTATGACTAAAAGAGGTATAAACATTTGTGTGCAGGTTTTTGTGGGGACATAAATTTCAACTCATGAAAGTAAATAACTAGGAGTGCAATTGCTGGATCACATTCAGCTTTGTAAGAAACCATCAAACTGTCTTCCAGAGTGGCTGCTACCATTTGCAGTCTCACTGGCAATGAATGTGAGTTCTGAATACAGTTTTCACTAATGAATTGATTATTTTCAGAAGAGTAAAAAAAAACTCCTGAGTTGGATGAAAGTTTCATGACAAGGCAATATGCTAATTTCCCCTCCAAACCTGTCATACAAACAATGATTAAAAAAGAAATGGCATCTGGTGATAATCTAAGTCCTGTCACCTCAGTTCTGTACAGGAGCGTTTGGCAAGTGTACTCATCTGTCATGTGGTGCTTTAAGAAAAAAGAGCAAGTGGTCTTTGTTTAGAGAAGTTATTTATAGGAATGATCACTGCTGGGTCATTTTAGACATACTTTGTAAGTTCTCTGACTGAAGTGATTAAATTGAGCTTTATTGATTTTTCTTTTTTGAGCACAGACTACATGCTAAGTACTTTGGTTTACATCATTAGATTGGTCCTCACAGCAATATCCTGAAGTTGGTATTATCTTCATTTTATAGATATGGAAACTGAAGCTTAAAAGGAAATCTGTCCAAGTTTATAGTGATTAGAAATTCTAAACCCTTCTCTGGGTGTGATCACCACCCTGTCATGTAAATTCACAAGAAGCTATAAGCGTGCCTCTTTATAAAAACACATTGAAGAAACAGAGAAGCTGTTTAGGGGCATTTAAACATAATTTAGCATTTAAACATAATTTGTTTGAGTATTCACAAAATAATCAACCTCAAAGCTAGATAAAACAGTCATTGACAACTATGCATATGTTACTCTACATGGTCCAAGCCACACTTGACAACTATTTTTTTTTTTAAGATTTATTGTATTTATTTGAAAGGCAGAGTCAGAGAGAATGAGACAGAGAGGGACAGACAGAGAGAGGTCTTCTATTCAACAGTTCCCTCCCTAAATGGTGCACATCCTGGGGCTGGGCCAGACCAAAGCCAGGAGCTAGGAGCTTCATGCAGATCTCTCACTTGGGTGCAGGGGCCCAAGCACTTGGGCCATCTTCCACTGCTTTCCCAGGCACATTAGCAGGGAGCTGGATTGGAAGTGGAGCAGCAGGACTCAAACAGGTGCCCATATAGGATGCTGGCACTTCAGACGGCTGCCTTAACACCAGCCCTGACAACTATAATTTTTAAAAAGCAGAGAATGTAGACATGGGAGTTAGTCATTGCATATTGCTTAAATACCATTACCTGGAAAACAGTAAAGGCCTTGGAACTTTTGGGTGGGGGCATAGGGAGCTGGAAAAGCAAAGAACCAACACACAGTCATCTAAAACCATCCTTAAATAAATGGCCCATAAGGTAGATATATATTCAGGAAGAAGGAAAATTTGCTAGCAAAGATAGATGTTTGTTAACAGATGCAGTAAAAAGGCTCTTAATATCTCTGGATTCAGGCAATTTTATTAACTTGTTTTAGAAAGCTAAATAAGTTCTTTCCATTTCTTTATGTAATATCAAATACATTTGGTTTCATACTCTCAGTAATAAAATGGAAAATTTAACTCTTAAGCCTCATGAGTCTTCCACTACACCATCTCTATAGCTTAAAAGAAAAATGCGCTTCCCAACAGTAGAGCATACACTCTCTAGAGGAAATGGCCCCTTGTAAGTTAATCACTTTTCCTCATGAGTTCTTCAGAGACGTTAGATTACTTCAACTGGTCTGTAGTAAAGTCAGCAAAGTCTGGTACAGACACATTTTGACATCTGGTATCCTGAACGTAAAGACAGATTCTGCCCCTCACTCGCAGCTGTGTGCCATGGGCCAATGCATAAGCACCTGTGAATCGGTAAACTGCAGCTAGGGGCACTTCCTCCACGTGGCCATGAAGGTTAAAGGGACCAGAACAGAGAACTTGCCACAGGGAGTAGCCTTGGCCTTTATGGTGGAGGGCTTTTCTGCCTTTGCTCTGCAATCCTTACTCCTCCTGGAAAACAGGTCAAACACGCTCTTTTCCATTGCCTTTTCTTTCTTTCCTCTCAGGCTCTGATGTAAATGCTACAAACCAAGACAAACTGTCAGAGCTGCAGGAAATCAAACTCAAATTAATGTTGGGCATCGCACTGATGACCCTCCTCCTTTTTGTCACCCTCTTGGCCTTCTGTAGTGCCACACTGTACAATCTGAAGCAGCTGAGGTAAGTCTGCAGAGTTCTGCAGTCCTTGTAACCAACGCAGCATGTCGAGTTCACTCTCTGCTCGCTAGGAGATTGTTAGGAATACGTGGCTCCCAAATATATTAATTATCCTGAATATTTAAAGTGTTCAGTTTGACTTTATTTCCCCTATGCAGAAGGAACATGGGACTGCCTCTCAGGGAATATCCTACCTAAACTTTGCCCCTAATACTTTTTTTTTTTTTTTTTAATTTTATTTGAAAGGCAGAGCAATTGATAGAGATCTCCCATCTACTGGTTCCTTCCCCAAATGCCTGCAACAGCCAGGGCTGGGACTAGTCCAAAGCTAGAGATGGGAATGCTATCCAGGTCTCCCACATGTATGGCAAGGACTTGAGCATTTGAGCCATCACCCTGCCTACCACAGTGTGCCTTAGCAGAAAGCTGGAATGGGGAACGGAACCAGGACTTGAAACCAGGCACTCCAATCTGGGATACAGGAAACCCAACCAGCACTTAAACCTCTATGCCAAATACCCACCCTGTCCTAGTATGTTAGTTAACTAGGGATAGATACCCCTAGTCAGTTGAAAAGGATATAGATTCTAGATCTGCTTTTTCGTGATACTAGCTTGGGAACCAAAGGTCCACACTTCCTGTTCTAAGGAGCCCATCTTCTTAGGGTCTAACATTTTTCATTCAAGCAGGCCTCAAGGCCTTCAAAAAATAACATGTCTCTGTGTTACATTTACACATTAAGGCTTATCAATTTGTTCTTTCTTACAAAAATATCAAATTCAGCTCAAGCCTGATTGAGGGGATTATTTAAAATTTATTATACTAACAGATTACTTTAAAAATCCCAACAGGATTGCTTCATGTTCACAATTATGAATTCCATTCTTTTGATGGTCGTGCTTTGGAGGAATGGTGTATTTCTTGGGGACAACCCTAGCTATTTATTCCCCTAATTCAGTTTCTTTGTACATGTTTCAGATTAAACTTTTATTAAAGCAGCTTTTCCTGTTTTAGTAAATTGGTTTCTAAACTCTAGACTTGGGGTTTAAAACATGCTTCATTCACACAGGTATTAGATATAATAAACTTACAATTAAGGGAAAAAAGCATCATTTATATATGTTAAGTAACTAGTACACTGGATGGAATTTAATTTTTGTGAATGCTTTTCTAAGTTGAATTACAAATGTACACAATTAAAAACAATTCTTGATATATGTTCTTTTCCTTTTCAGTTATAAAAGTTGTGAGAGTCAATACTCTATCAACCAGAGCTGGCCACTCTTTCTTACTTTCATCCATCAGAAGGTGTATCAGACACATCTTTTTCTAAGAGTGCAGAGAGCAGCACATTTTGGGGCACCACTTCTTCAGATTTGAGAAAATCAGGCACAAGAAGGTCAAAATCTAAAAATTTGACGGACATGACTTCCACGGGCTCAGATGAAACGGGCATGAATGAGGAGTCAGACTTAGTTAACAGTGAGGAACCGAATGAGGAAAAATAGATAACTTTGACTCTTTTGTCAAAAAAAAAATCTTTTTGTCTCATTCTAATGCCATGATTTTGAAACTGCTGAGACATTTACATTTTCTAGTGTCTTAAAAGAAGGACATCTTCAATAAAAGCTATTTCAGTTTTAAAATTTATTTAATGGAAAATACACAAGGAAATAATTCAAGGTGTAGAAAACTCATCAAGTAAAAAACCACCCCGGAGAGCGACTTATGACTCGTTTTTAAATGAGGACATTTAGATATTTGTCTGACTGGTGGGGCATTTTGAGGACTCTCAGGATGCTCTGCACCGCCACCTCCAAATCAAAAAGAACACACCTGTTCATGTTTAATCGCCAAAACAGTTGGGCCATCAAGAGGTGAACCTAACTAAGTTAGTGGTAGAAACTGCTTAGAATTCTTGTTTAAAAGTCATCAGGATTGCTCTCATGGGGCAAATTAAGGGAAAAAGATTTTTTTTCTAACATTTCTAAAGTATCCATAACCATCTGAGATAACACGGTATTCCAGAAGAGGAGGAGGGAAGGAGCGGATCCCAGCATGCAATTCCCAGAGCAGGGTTCATGTCCCCCAGGTCTTTGGAGAGCTGAAGTGCTCCTCTCTCTTCCTCCCGGTAGTGGGCGCTCACTAGTGCTCTGACAGCAAAGCATCTCACAGACTAATTCGAGTAGTGACGTTTGAGATTCTCCGCACCAGAGTATTTCAGTTTACGAAGGAGGTAAACTGGATAGGCATGTTTCCTTAGGAACTGCTTTTGAGTGGAAGGATTTTAGGGACACGCGTCGGATCTCCTGGGGCGGGTTTCCTTGTCCTCAATTCTTAACCACAACAATAGCTTCCATTGCTTGCGTGCCTACTTTGTGCTAAGCATTTTAGTACATTCAGGGAGTCCAACTACCCTATAAAAGGTGAGTTTATTTTACAGATCAAGAACTCCGAACTCAGGTAAGTCAGCTAGCTTGCCTAGAATCACCTGCTAGCGAGGGGCAAAGCGCTCATGCGCTTCCAGACAGGGTTCTCTACCTGATCCTTGAAGGTGAATAGTCTACAGAAGTGAGAGTTTTCGGAGCACGAGAAACGCCGAATCCAAGAGGCATTGAGTTCGTCCAGCCAGGTGTTCTTTCAGCTCCTGGGAAACCGTTCTCCCTGCTTCGGGCTTAGATCTCAATGATGCCTCTTCCCCACGTGCATGAGCTCACCTGCCACTCGCCCTGCAGTCCCTTCTCCGCCCCCCCTCTTCCCCCCCCCTCCCCCGCCATTTCTTCCCAGTCTCCAGCGTCAGGGGCGCTCACCATTGGATGGGAAAGCTACGAAGCCCCGCCTTAGAATGCTGATGGCCTACATAAGACGGCACCGTCGGCGGAAGAGTAGCAGCATAGGAGGTGCGCGCTGCCTCGGCTCTGCCAGTAGCACGCCAGTTTCTGAGCCGGCGACCGTACGCCTTGCGCAGCAGCCCATGCTACCCTCTGCTGGTTACTTTTGCCACTTCCCGTGCCCTTTTGACAGCCCCAGGGGTGGATGTCAGCGTTTGCACTGCCAGTTCAGACACCTGGAGGCGCAGTGGGAGCTGGCTGAGGCAAGTAGGTCCAGCCCCTTGGAAGAGCTCCAGGTGCACAGGAGTCCTGTAGAGTCCAAGGGTGAGAAAGGGCGTGTGGGAGGCGGAAGGGCTTGAGGATCAACTGTTCCCGCCTTTTCCTTCTGCCCGTCCTTGGGAAGCACCAAGAACTCTCTTGATTGGAAACAGACGCTGAGTCACCTTTGAATCCCAGAACTTGTCTCCAGGACTGAAAAACAGCATTGTAGAGAAGGGAAATGAGTCTATATAGTGCAGTTACCCTGGCCCAAATGTCTAAAGGCACAAAGAAAAGTGTTAACTAAATTTTTAAAATTTGGCTCCTCCTCCTCCCCTCCAAGACAGCTGGTACCATTGTAACATGCGCTCAAGGCCATCTGAGGGCGCAGGATGGGGCATACAAGGCGTCAGGAGTCCTCTCTCCTTCCCTGGTCCATGAGCCAGGAGACGGTCACGCAGCCCCCGCTGCCGGTTTCCTCGTTTGTCCGGGGCTCTACGCCCTGGTACACCTGTGCCATTTCTGAGCAGGTGTTCCTGGCCAGATCACGGAAGCCTGTGGGTTTCTCCGCGGTCTGAAACGCCCTCTCGTTTCCTTCTCCCAATGCGCCCTCGCCTGCCTCTCCTCCAGCACACAAGGTGGGACTTTAAACTGCGCTCTCCTTGTCCTGGAGCTGAATTCCGATGCCCTGCGTGTTCTGCGTCCTGAGGCCCTGGGGTGCTTATGGCCAGACTGGTTCCAGAAAGTTAATCTTCCCAGCGTGGCACCCCGCGGGGCGAAGCCTAAAGTGCTGGTATTGTCCCTCTCTCCTGTCCCTCCTACGTACGGCAAGGGTGGCCCGACACCTGACACCTGCGCAGCTCCGGCATCCCGGGGTTGGCGGGACGGGTGGCGGTCCCAAGCGCACCTGGGGACGCTGCTGCCCAGCAACGGAGCAAGCAGGCAGGCGCCCGCGAGGCGCTCGGTTGGGGCGGGGCGGGGGCGCGGGGCAGGAGGCCCCGGGTGTGAGCGTGCGGCGGGCGCGCGCTCCACGTGCTGGGGACTGGTTAAGTGCCTGCTCTTGGGAGCACAGGGTGCTAGACCGGCTTCTAGAAGGAGCACGGCGGGTTTGCTGGTTGTGAGCTGGTCTGTGCGTGGTTTTTTGTGGTCTTAGCCTCTGCCTCTGTTACCCGCGAGTTAATTGTTAAGGGGCTTCCTCTGCTTTGGTGAAAGGTGAGGGGCTCGGGTTGAAGAGGTGGAATGGGACTTGGCGCTGGGCCCTTGTTAATTCAGCTTGGGTCATGGAGTAATTACGAGTTCAGAGGAGCTGCCCCTCAGCACTTCGAAATGAACCCTCCAATCTAGATTCTGGCGAAGAAAGGACATTTAAACTGGTCTGGAGGGAAATTGGATCTGCCTTTTGGGTAGTAACACACACTCCTCCAAGTGTTTGACAGCCTTTCCCAACTCGTTGCAACTGCCTTCAACCCGGTTTATGCCATGTGTATATCTGGCTGGTTATCGCGAGTTTATATATAAAGAAATCAGATCTGGGCATTTATGAGTGGGTCCTGGGACATTGCTTGCTCTGCTTTTTCCTCTTCTTCTCCCTCCTGCAGTGCCGGTTTTTCCTTCCATTTTGTATTTCAATGGAGTTGATTTCTTAACAGAAAATGCCTGGTAAATTGAAAGACTGTTGAGCCAGAGGAAGTTTACTGTATAAAAAGGAAATGTGTATGTTATCAAAGCATAGGCTATCTAAAATGCTAAAAACTTTTGAGATGTAGTTTGGACCTTACCTCACATCTGACATGTCTTGTTTGGCAGATGGGAGAAGTGTGTAAGTTGTCTTGACTTTGACATAGGAAAGTGCGCCTTGGAAAAAGGGAAGAGGTTGTGAATCTGTAGTTAAAATGCAGAATGAAGCCACCAGGCCGTTGTGTAAAGTGATCACTTCAAGCGAGGTGTGAGTTGTGGATTAGCAGGTGTTCCTGTCTCAGTGCTGGATTTCCCCAGGAGTGTGGAATTAGCTGCTCTGGAGTTTCGTTTCCTGATTCTTAGATCCTTACGGTTGTGTGGGTTTGCCTTTTCTTTTCAAACCATTCTACAGACTTCAGGAATCCCGGTGAGAATGTTGAGACCTGCTAAATGAAGGAAAGACTTAGGCCTCAAATAATTGTTTCTAATGGAGAAGGGAGATGTATTGAGGTACACGACTGTATGGAGTTCTGTGTAAGTGACATTTGTCTATTTGAACTCCTTCCAAATTACTTGTTAGTTGGTAATAGGGTGAATAGATGGTACCCAAACCACATCACATGTGAGGTAATTTAATAATTATGCCTGAGCCAGGTCTGTCCCACTGATGTATATCTAGTGTACTAAAAAGGCATGAATGTATTGTTTTAAAGATTTATTTATTTATTTGAAAGTATGAGTTACACAGAGAAGGAGAGGGAGAGGGAGAGAGGTCTTCCATCCACTGGTTCACTCCCCAATAGGCCACAACAGCCAGAGCTGCACCGATCCAAAGCCAGGAGCCAGGAGCTTTCTCTGGGTCTCCCATGTGGGTGCAGGGGCCCAAAGACTTAGGCCATCCTCCACTGCTTTCCCAGGTCATAGCAGAAAGCTGAATCAGAAGTGGAGCAGCCGGGACTCGAACTGGCACCCATTAGGATGCCAGAACTGCAGGCCGCGGCTTTACCTGCTACGCCACAGCACCGACCCCATGAATGTACTTTAATTAGTCATGGGGATGAGCTGGACATTTGACAGACTTAGCAGTGACGGTCACTGGATTCTCATCCTCCCAAGAACAGATCACGTAGTAAGCTACCCCCCGTGTTAAAGATGGGTTTTGAAGGGTTAAGGTCCTGATAGGAAGCTTCTTGTCTAGGATATTCTGGAATCTGCATTTCATCTTAAGTGACTTTAAAGATAAAGCAAATGTCATTTTCCATTGGTGGCGCTAGGTACAGCCATGGAAGAATTAGAAAAAATCAACAAAGAAATTGAGGCCGTCAGGACGGAAGTTGAAGAAAGCCAGAGGAGCCCCGTGAATTTTACTTTAGCGCTTGAAGAACTAACTCAGAGCCCTGTGGCCTCCTTGAATAACACAAATGTGAACCAAGATTTTCCTAAAAATGACCTGCTGCCAGAGGAGAGATGGAAGGAGCCATCAAGGAACAAAGACAGTCAGCTTAGAACGTATGTGATGGACCACAAATGTCCAGCAACTGATCTTGAATATGATCCTTGCCCAATTATTCTGCGGAGTTGCTTGGGACATCAAAAGCAGAGCAGGATGAGACTGACCAACAGAACTGCCAGTTGAAAAAATATGTGGGTGAAAATTGCCTCCTGCCCCTCAAAAGCCAAAAACCTTTTTCACTAATAAGAATTAAAATAAATCTTCAAGACTCTGATGATGATGAACTTGTAATAGATGCACCACCACTCATGCCTACTTCTAAGAAATCGAAACTATTTAGAGGCTCCAAATGTCAGAATAAAGATAAAAAGGTAAATATCACACCCCTGGAGGAGAAGAATCTTCAGATTAGTGCCCCAGAAGAGAAAAATACAGGCAAATCCCAACTAACCACACAAATAGATGACAGGCACACATCGGAACCACCCCCGTTACTCATGGAAACACCACTAGATATGAAAAATAATGTGGTCTTGAATCCTGTTAAAACCCATACGTCTAAGAAGGGAAGCTTTGGTTATGAAAAGGATAGCTATATCTTAGAAGAAGGTCACAAAAAAACCCTGAAGGATAGTCATAATGAACATTATGTAAAGAGCCAGAAATATTTCAAATCGTTTTATGATACTCAAAACAAAGAAACTGAATGTCCATACTCACTAGGCCGGTCCCAGATTTCTTGTTCAGATGAACGTGCAAAAGACAGAGTGCTCAGAGCACAAAACAATCGTCAGGAGTCCACTGCATTTGCAGATAGCAAGGTAACTGAGTGGGAATCTGGTAAGGAACCTGCTGCCGCTGACATCGCCCCTGACTCTGGCAACACCATGAAGGCATGTCCTCGAATTCCCAGTGAGTCCACAGAAAATGAAGCTCACAAAAAGACAAAGCAGGTTGGTGTCTTTTTTCCCTTTGTCTTTTTCCTAAATCTAAAAGAGCTTTTAAATACATATACTTACTGTATATAGTCTATGGAATATGCAGATAGTATCTATGGACTATCATATGGAAATATATAGACTATATATGTAATATTCTAATAGTTTGGAATGACAAGGTGAAAGTCTTCACAACTGGCCAGCAATATTGTCTTGCAAAGTTGTCAGTTTCCAAAGGCATCATATTATATACAGTAACACATAGTTGTTGACCCAAATTAGAGGATTCTTTTATAGGAATGCATGCATATAAAATTACTTGAATTCAGTGATGATTTTTGTGAATTATTTTTGATTTTCCAAATATTTTTGTAGCTTAGGTTCATGTGGCTTTGCAAGGAACTTGCTAAATTTACCTTTATTAAACTAAAATCAATCTTTTTTTCTCTTTAGGCTTCAGGAAATCAAGATATGTTGAATTACAGAAGCACTTCTGGGCCAAAGAAGAGAATTGCACACACTGCCAAATTTGATGTGAGTCATTTAGTTGCTTATTTCCCCCCGCTGCAGAACTTTTCGAACCGAAATATGGCATGCTTTGCCATTGTCTACTTTTAAAGTATCTAATAATTATCTTGTCATCCACCAGGGGGCACATGTGGGGAGTCAATATGCTGATTATACTAGGGAGCATCTTCCAAGTCCTTGACTTCTCCTTTTTACCTAACAGTTTTCATTGAAAGCATGTATAATGTCATTGCATGGGCTTCTAACTATAAGTGGATCCTCATTAATTGCAGGATCAAAATTTGCAAGTTGGCCTACTCAGTGAAATGTATTTGTAACTTTAAAACCAAGACTGCTTTTGTGTTCATTCTTGGACATGCAAAGGCTGGCAAAAAACAAACAAAAACTTAACTACCTGATAGAGAAGGCAACACAAATGTCTTGTTTCAGGTCTCATACTGTAAACAGATTTTGGTCATCTATTTAGTGCCATATTTTTGCACTTTGGTGCTTTTTGTTGGTGACTTTATGCTACCAAAGGGCCTTAAGTGTAATGTTTCTAAGCCCAGGAAGACTATGATTATGCTTTACAGAGAACATTCATTAGATCATCTTTGGTTGTGAGTTATAGTACAGCTGGCCATTAGCATTAGTCTTTAGACACATGCACACGTAAAACAAGGTTGATAAAGTTGACAAAAATGCTGTGACCAGACACTAACCTGAACCTAACTATGTAGTTCATTTGCCCCAGGAGCCATGGTTCAGATTTTGTGAATTTAGTGTTTATGGGGTCTTTATGAAGTGCAACTACCTCAGATAACCAGTTGGTTTTAGTTTTGGAAAGTAATTTGAACCTCTGGTAATTTATGTCATAAATGCCAATGTTTTTTCATGACACGTTAAAGGAGAAGTTGCGGTAGTGAAGCCAGTAGCATTTCTTTAACTCTGTTGTGATATTTAATACAAATTCTACTTCTCAGGTCTAGTCTCCATCATCTATACTTGGTGAACACTAAAAGCAAAACTTTGCATGGCATTAAAAAAATTAAAAAAAAAAAAAAACTCAATGCTTCCAAGACACTGATAAGATCTCAATTCTGCTACTTCGCAACATAGTCAATGTCCTTGAAGAAGTTACTTAAGTCTTTTTCTGTTCTTCACTTTCCTTTCCTGTGAAAGAGATGTTAAGCACCTTTCCCAGAGTTGAATCTAGAGGTACTTATAAGCTTGTTGCCCTTGCCTCCTCTTGTGAGAAAAGTGTTTTCCGAGGCTAACCCTGTTCTCGCTTAATTGCAAATGCTGTGGTGTTGGTAGTTTTCATTTTATTGTGCTACCTAATGCTCGCCACAGATCTCACATGGGGGTACTTCAGAAAGCTCATGGAAAATGGAATTGAAACGTTTCTTTTTCCAAAACTTACAGTTTAAAAACAAATGCATGACATGAGAAAGACATGGATTTCAAAATTTTGTTGCATCGAAATAAATTTACCTTTTAATTGCATTTTCCAGAGACTTTTTGAAGTGCTTTGTATATTATGAGCAAATGCTGTCATCGATAATTATTTCCTTAAAGTAAAATCTCACCAATGGAAGTGAGTCGACAAGAAAAGTAATCTTAAGAGATTTGACGCATCTCACCGTATCACCCCCAAGACGAGCTCTGGCAACTGACAGTTCTACTCAGAGTTTGAGAGTTCCCTTCCCACTCACCTTTTCCCCCAGTGGATACTGGAGTGTTTCAAAAGCCAGATATAGGTAAAACTTCGTCTTTTAGATTACATTTTTCTAGATTACTCCTGAAGCTGAACATTCTCTCATTATGTTCCATTCTCTTGTAATAAAGGTTGCTATGGAGCAGTGTGAATCTAGCCTATTTCTCCTTATAATGAGTCACTTGATAACTTTTGCCTCAATTCCCAAAGGATTCTTTTTTAACACTGAATTCAAGTAACTTTAACAGAGAATGTCCTATTCTTACCTATTGTATTATCACTTTGACCTGCATACAAAGTGTTGTTTCACATAAGTTCTCCCTATTTCGAGAGCATTTTCAAAAATCCTGTTTCAATGACTTAATAAATTCTTTCTAAGAATGTTGCCATTATGCATGCTTTGAATCTCATGCAGTCCATTCACTTTGTGTGAAGTCCAGGGCCGCTGAAGAACCTCTGACAGAAAGGATGAATTATCAGCATTAAGTTTCCTCGTTTTTGTCCCATGCTGATGCGCTGTAGGTTCCAAGCAGTAAAGAGATCGTTAGCTCGTTCCGGGGACCAGTCCCTCCACCGGCTACCCGCACTGGAATCCTTCGAGCCCAGCAGCAGGCAGGGCAGATGCAGGCTGCCGGGAAGAGTGGCCAGGCCTTTGCTGCTGCCACTTCAGAACACAGGAAGAGTGCGTTTGCCTGTCCAGCCTCCCAGACTCGGAGGAAAGGTTTGGGAAATCCTTCTTTTTGGATCACTCATTTAAGAAACAGGATTTAATTTTAATTTTTAAAATATTTCTTATAAGGTACCTATATTAGCAGTTACGGTAAAGTAAATGACAGTTTTAGGTGAAATGATACAGTTGACATGATCTTTAAGTATTTACTGTTGGCCGGCGCCGCGGCTCACTAGGCTAATCCTCCGCCTAGCGGCGCCAGCACACCGGGTTCTAGTCCTGGTTGGGGCGCTGGATTCTGTCCCGGTTGCCCCTCTTCCAGGCCAGCTCTCTGCTGTGGCCAGGGAGTGCAGTGGAGGATGGCCCAAGTGCTTGGGCCCTGCACCCCATGGGAGACCAGGAAAAGCACCTGGCTCCTGGCTCCTGCCATCGGATCAGCGGGGTGCGCCGGCCGCAGCGCGCCGGCCGCGGTGGCCATTGGAGGGTGAACCAACAGCAAAGGAAGACCTTTCTCTGTCTTTCTCTCTCACTGTCCACTCTGCCTGTCAAAAAAATAAAAAAAAAAGTATTTACTGTTTATCCATAAATTGTATGCAACAGATAATACTCATATTTTATAAGTACTCTTAAATGCAGTAAAGTTGCTTTATAATCTTAGCTAAATTTGTTCTTAGCTATATTGGGCTTGTTTGGGGGAATTTTCTTATGTTTTTGAATTTTGTTTTCTTCAAGAAAAGCATGCATATTTTAAACCTAAAAGGAATTTTGAAAATGTTGAACCAATGATTTGAATAAACCTTAATCATAAAATATCATTAAAATTTACCTTTTTTTTTTCTTGTTCACTCAAACTTCTTAGAAAATTCCTTCACATCAAACAGCATTCAGCTGGACATGGCTCTTTCAAAGGAAAATCCATCTGGAAAAACATGCAAATCGCATATTCCTGTGAGAAGCATTGCTGCTTTTCCTGTGAAGGTATCATGACCTAAAGCGGACCACAAAAGCTTCGTGTCATCATTTCCTATGTATATGGAGTCCCTGAAAGTGTGCCTATGTTCTTCTTTCTGAAGATCCCGAACTTGGATAAATGTCAGACCCATTGGAGAGAAATATCAACATTTTATAGGTTATCACATTATACTAGTTATTTTTATTTTTTGAAAAATATTTTGTTTTTGCTATCCATGGAAATATTAGGCATCTTTTATGCCTAAAAACTTCTTTGATACTTTTTTCAAAAATGTTTCACATTGAACTATACCTTTGAACTATGTCCAGTGAGTGTGTGAGGTGTGTGTGTGTGTGTGCGCGTGCGTGAGAGAGGGAGGGAGGGAGAGAGGGAGAGAATAACACCATCAGTGATAGGACAGTGTAACTTCATTTTCCCTGTACTTGTGTCAGTGATTTTTTTCTCCCAAATATTTTGTAGCAGAAAACTAACTGCTGGTGTTCTTCCTCACCCCATTTTTTAATGATTTTGTTTTGTGTTATTTTGTTGTTGTTGTTATTTGTGGCGCTAGCATTGTGCACAGCCATTAGGCTGTCATTTGGGAGGCCTGCTTCCCATGTCAAGTGCCTACTTCAAGTCCCAGCCACCCTACTTCTGATCTACTTTCCTGCAAATCTGCCTGGAAAGGCAACAGGTGATGATGGTTCAAGTACTTGAGTCACTGCCACCCATGTGGGAGACCTAGATGGAGTTCCTGGCTCCTCGTTTTGGCCTGACCCATTTATTTGGAAAGCAGAGAAACAGGGAGAGAGATCTTCCATCCACTGGTTCATTCCCCAGTTGCTCAAAATGGCGAGTGCTGGGCCAGGCAGAAGTAAGGAGCCATGAACTTCATCTGGGTCTCCTTTGTGAATGGCAGAGACATAAGTGCTTAAGTCTTCATCTGCAGCATCCCAGGATGCATTAGCAGCAAGCTGGATTGGAAGCAGAGAGCAGCACTTGAAATCTGATATGGGATGCAGGCATCTAAGCAGCAGCTTAACCTGGTACACCCCAACAACTGCCTTTTTTTTTTTTTAAAGAGTTATGTATTTACTTGAAAGAGTTACACAGAGAAGAAGAGGCAGAGAGAGCAGTCTTCTATCTGCTAGTTCACTCCCAAGGTGGTCACAACAGCTAGAGCTGTGCAGATCCCACATGGGTGCAGGGGTTCAAGGACTTGGGCCATCTTCCACTCCTTTCCCAGACCATAGCAGAGAGCTGGATCAGAAGTGGAGCAGCCAGGACTCAAACCGGTGCCCACAAGGAGGCCAGCACTGCAGGCAGCGGCTTTATCTGCTACGCCACAGCGCCGGCCCCACAACTGCCTTTCTAAAATGTCTTTGCACAACAAGGAAACAACTACTGACATGTAGTGTTGGCTTTTTTTGTTTTCCAAAACTCATTTCAGAATGTTCATTAACTCATTCCAGAATGCTCATAGTGTTTACCAAGTCCTGTAAAAGAAAACAGTAAAATTGTGTATCATTGGGATCACTTTAATATTGAGTATATACAAGGTTCCCATAAATTTTAAGTTCAGATGTTTTTTTAATGATGTACGTGAAAAACAGTAGGGTGTATTAATTTAAGGAAGAAAGAAAGACTGTGAACTTAGCTGGATGTTGGTCAGAAGACCAAACCACAGCTTAAGGGAGTGCAGTTAGCTGATTAGTAGGCTGCAGTGTTATCCGTGCAGGTAGTGGAATGAGGACTCGGCCATTTCACTCCTCCCTTTTGTGGGTGTATATAATTTTATACCTTGTATATGTTCTACTTCTTGTGAACTTAAAATTTGAAATGATTTCTCCATTTTGTTAAGAACTTAGTATACTTTTTTTTTATCCTTGGTACACATGTTAAACTGAAACATGAGCTCTTCTTTAATCCACAATTCTTTATTTAACAAGATGCCAAAATACACAGTGGCTCATCGGAAGTGGACTTCAGTGACATCCGAGTCCTCTAAAGTCCCTGATGAAGTCAGACAGCGCTATGTCAGTCTCTTTGTGGAAAGGTATCTGGACGTTTGTCAGACAAAGGATGAGGCTCTTAACAAGGTCAGTTTGTAGTGCATAATGTAATTTATTGAAGGCACACAACTTGGAAACTACTGTGTTGAATTTAAAACACCCAGGGCACAATTAGCAAATAGTTTTATTCATTTGTATTTCAATTGCTTTTTTCAAAGCAGGCAGTGGTGCTGGTCCTCCCCACCCCGACCCCCCTTAGATGACTTTTTTGCTCTAGTCTGAATAGTATCTGCCTCCCATTAGGTTGGGCATGTACTGCCTAGTGAGCCGTGGTACCCTCTAACAACTATTACTTAAACCTACTTGTGCTCATTTATGGGCCATTCTTTGCCTCCTAGGTGTGCCTGTGTTTGCAACCTCTACTCAAGAGCTTTTTTCTGAATGGAAACCTTGGCAGTAACAGTAGTCCCCTATGTTCATTTGTATCTTCAAAAATCCACATAGACTATATAAGAATTAGAAAGCAATGGGGACTGAGGCTCACTGGGCAGAGTATGTCCCATTTATAGAGCCGTAGACACTCTGATTGAGGTCAATTCAGTTTTTCCTGGGGATCAAAAAAGAACCGTAACTGGATGCCACTGGAAAAATATTTCAGATCATATGAGGAAGACTCTTGTAACAAATATTCTGTCTGTAATACAGCTGCTTTGTGAGGTAGTGGACTGGCAATTGCTAGAAATGTTTGGAATGTTTTTCTACATCCTCACCAACACTTGTTTCTTTCTGACTTTTGTTAGTAGATGTTAAATGGTATTTAGCTGTGATTTTTTAATATATTTCTCTAACAACTAATGACATTAAACATATTTCCGTGTGCTTATTAGTTATGTCTTTGGAGAAATATCTACTCAGATCCTTTGCCTGATTTCTGAATAGCCTCATTGTTGAGTTGCTAAATTCTTTGTAGGTTTTAGATAAAACATTTGCAAATGTTTTTCTTCTCAGTGAATTGCATCATTTGTAGCACAGAAAACTTTTCATTTTGATAAATTCCAACTTACTGTAAATTGCTATTGTTTGTGTTCTTGGTGACGTATCTTAAGAATCCAGGATCGCTAAGATTTATTGCTGTTTTAAAAAGTTTTAGACTTAGAGTAGACCAAATATTTAAAAAGATCAAAGTTGATTTTTTTAATAAGGTAGGAGGTAGGGGTCCAACTTCATTCTTCTGGATGTGGATATCTACTTGTCCATTTGTTGAAAGGGCTTTGCTTTATCCCATTTATCTTGTTACCTTTGTAAAAAATCAATTGACTGAAAATACATCTGTAAATGGTAATAAATTCTTGACTCTAAGTTCTGTTCCTTTAATCTCTAACTTTAAACCATTCTATATAGTCTGAATTACTGTAGCTTTCTATAATGAAACTGCAAAGTATGAGTCCTCCAAATTTGATCTCTGGTACTTCCATATACATTTTAAGATCAGCTTGTTATGTTCTTCACAAAATAGGATTTTGGTTGATGACATTAAAACTTTAGATCAGTTTCTAGAAAACTGCTGTCTTAACTAAGTCTTATGAATCATAAGCACAGATGGCCTTCCATTTATTTAGATCTCTAATTCTTTTTAAGAATGTTTTGTAGATCTGAGTACAGTCCTCACACTTTTTTTTCAAGTTTTCCCTTGGTATTGTGATCATTACACTATTGTTAATAGAACTAGTTTCGTAATTTTATTTTGAGATAGTTCATTGCTGGAGGGTAAACTTAATTGATCTTTGATACTGTATCTTGAAAACTTGTTGAACTTTTTATTCATTTTCATAGTCAACTATAGAAAATCCTAAGGAACCTGCTGACTATAGAAACCGTAACTATAGAAAACCCTAAGGAACCTGCTAAGCTGATGTTGTGTGTGAATGGAAATAGTTTTATTTCTTCCTTTTGAATCTGGGTACTCTTCTGTTTACTTTTTCTCATCAAATTTCCCTAGCTCAAAATGGCATTAAAATATTGAATAGAAGTAGAAAGAGATGACATCCTTGATTTGTTCCTGATCGTAGGGGAAAATCGTTGAGTTTTTCTCTGTTCAGTGTGTTATAACTGTGGGATTTTTAAATTTTAAATCAGAACTTTATTGGTTGAGACAATTCCCTCCCATTGCTAATTTGCTGAGTGTTTTAGCATGTTTTCTTCATCTGTGGAGCTGTCACGTAGGCTTTGTCTTTTATCCTCTTAATACGCACGCACACTGATTTTCAGATCAACTTTGCATCTAACCTTTCCTTTCTTGGATAGAACTTTGGCCATGGTGTAAAATCATTTTTCATGTTTATTCCAATACTAGTATTTTGAAATGTTCATTTATGTGAAAAGCAGAGAGCAGACGTGTTATATATTAATGTTAGCCGTTGGAACACACCGGACACCGGAGTAAGGGAAAGGGTTTATTGGGGAACACCCAACAGACCGGAGTGAAGGGGTGGCGAAGGAAAAAGAGAAAGAGTATAAGAGAAACAGAGAGGAGAGGAGCTAGCAAGGAGAGAAGAGAGCAGAGAGGAGCTGAGAGAGAGAGCCAAGAGACCAGAGGAGGAGGCTAGAGAGAGGAACCGAGAGAGGACCAAGAGAACAGGAAACAGGCCCTTTTAAAACTTCGCCTGAGGGCAGGCAGGGAAGCAGGAGCAGCGAATCCCATTAGGATGGGGGTGGAGCCTGGCTCAGGTAGCTGGGCCATGCAGCCACCTGGCTAAAACTGCGCCAGTTTCCTGCCAAGACGTGCTTCAGAGTACACATGTCCATCTGCTGCTTTAGTCCCCAATTGCCTGCAACAGCTGGGGCAAGCCTGGAGCCAGGAGCCAGGAGCTGCAGCTGGATGTTTTACTTCAGTGGTGGGGACCTAACTACTTGAGCCAGCATCTGCTGCCTCCCAGGTGCATGAATAGAAACCCAATCAGAGGCAGAGGTGAGACTTGATCCTAGGCGTGCTGATGTGGGATGAGGGCATCCCAAGTGGTGACTTAACGAGCTGTATCACAGTGCCCACCACCCCCCCTCCCCCCCGCCCAGTATTTTATTGAGGATTTTTGTTTTGCTGTTCTCTGGAGATCCTAGCCTGTAGTTTCCTTTCTTCGCCTTCATTTTCTTCCTGTTTTGTTGTTAATTTTTCATCACCAAAATTTATCATTTTAACTGTTGTAGGCATACAATTCAGTGGTATAAAATAAATTTACCATGTTGTGCTATTTTCACCTCTATCCATTTCCAAGCTTCTTTTTTTTTTAAAAATCATCCCAAACAAACTCTTGTATCTATTAAGGATTCTTCATTCCTCTCCCCTCCCCTGGTAACTTCTGTTCTATTCATACCTTCTGTTTCTGTGAATCTATCTATTCTGGTTACCTCATAATTGAAATTATACCAGATTTGTTCTTCTGTGTCTAATTTTTCACTTAGAATAACGCTCTCAAGATTTATCCATGTTACAGTGTAATTCCTTTTCACAGCCAAGCAATATTTCATTGGCTCTGATCGCCACATTTTCACTATCCATTCATCTTTTGATTGTAGTTTTCTTTGTAATGCTGTCATTGTCTATTTTATTAATTTTTTGGGCCTCAGGATTATATTAGGTTAAGAATACATTGGAAACTGTTCCTCCTCTTTTCATCATTTGGGAAGAGTTTGTGGATGATTGTTATTCGAATATTTGTGAGAATTTATCAGTGGGGTCTGGATTTTTCTTTGAGGGAATTTTAAAATTGATTTATTTGAGGTTGTTCTTGAGTTAATTACGGGACTTTTGGCTTTTCTAGGATTCTTCCCATTTTATCTAAGTTGTTTAACTTGTTGGCGTACAGTTGTTTATAAAACTCTAATCTTCTGTCGGTTTTGTAGCAATGTTCTTTCCCCCCTCATTTTTGACTTTAGTGCATTGAGCCTTCTCTCTTTCTTGGTCAATCCACCTCAGATTTTGTCAGTTTTGTTTATCTTCTCATAGAACCAACTTTAGATTCTTTACTGTTTTTCTAGTCTTTTATTTTATCCCACTCTAGTCTTTATTGTTTAATTTCTTCCTTCTTAGGGTTTTCTCTTAAAATTCTAGTGGACAGTAATCCTTTTATGAGCTCTGATAGAAAAATGGTAGTTACTGAATGGTTCTAGGGAAGTAACTTCCATAAAAAAAAGACAATGAAAAGGATTGTGTGTGGTCTTAAGCGAATATTTAGCTACTTTGGACTTCATTGTCCTTATTTTTTTTAAATGGGTTTTACAACATGTGCCTCTGGTATATTCAGTGCTTGCCTTGAGAATTGAATGAGTTCATGTGTGCTGTAAGCTTTGTTTAGGTTTTGTGCCATGCACTCTATCCAAATACACAGTGGTCTTTGGTCTATGAATAGCGTATCTGGTTCTTGGGTCAGATTCAAGGGACTTTCAACTCGTTTCTCCTCAAACTGCAAAATGGAGACTAAGTTACTTTTAGTTGGTAGGCCATTTCTCTTATTCCTTGGGTTAGATAAATATTTTGTCATATTTACCCATTATATTAAAAATGATATTTATTTATAGATTCTAGATTTCATATCCTCATTAATTATTCCATTTGTGATTTAGGCTAAAATAGAAGAAAAAGCTATATATGAAAGATGTGGCAGTAGAAATATGTATGTGAACATAGCAGTGAATACTCTGAAGAAGCTAAGAGAGCAAGGTAATTTCTTTTCAATTTAATTAACTAATGATATGATTAGGACCTGACAATATGCATAGGGTAATTTTTGGATCATTAGTGGAATGCATTGTAAAATATTCTCTTTAGCAGAATGTGTAGGTGGCACTAAGTTGAAAAGAAGTTTAGACTTCCAATTGGACATATAAATAGAACCTCATTGACAAGGATTATCACTGAATTATTTAAATTTGTATTTTGGTTATAAAAGTAACTTACCTCCATAGGAATACTACTTCAAAAGCTGTTTTTATTATAATCCCCCTAAGAAATCTTGGACATTGTTTTTTTCCTAACACAACCTCTGCCTCCATGAAATTAAGGAATAAGGCATAAAATTTTGTCTTATCAGTAAAGCTGAGATATGGAGAGCCAAGTATCTTCAGTGTCTGAGCTACTTTTCATTCCTCGAGCAGTTTCACCCTTTGAGGGCAATCTCAGCCCCATCAAGCATGCATGATGTGAATTCAAATAATACAGAAAACCATAAAGAATGAAAACCTATAAAGACAACTTTCTTCCATACTCACATGTTTTTAAAAAATACTTATTTATTGAAAATACAAAATGACAGAAGGAGACATAAAGAGAACAAAATCGCCCATTCACTGGTTCATGCCCGAAATGGCTGCAATGACTGTGGCTGGCCCAGGCCCAAATCAGGAGCCAACATACTTGAGTATTTTATACAGACCCCTCTGTACGTGACTAGAGAGATGCATGTAATTTTAATATTTTTAGTAAATATAATTTTTTTAAATCCATCTAGAATTTATTAATATCTGGCTCTACATCATACTTTTTGATGATTGCAAAATTCCTTATTGCACTGAGCCTATTCTGTACATATTCCATTCTATAGACATTATAATGTAAATGAACCAAACACATTTGGGTATTTACAATGCTTACTTTTTTTGTATGATAAATTCTGTGATAAATACAAGGATACCCCAAATATTTGTGGAAAATGGGATTAAAGATATGTCTTTTGAAACAAAAATTTAAGTATGTACATATGAAGTCAAAAATTTCATGAAAAATGTATATCATGAGAACTATGCAGATGATTTGCAATTTTTTTTTGCATGAAAATGCAGTTATCTTAATTCCATCTTGTACAAACATTTTGAAGTATTTTTGTCGAAGTGTTAACACTGTGATTTCATGCTACCTTAGCATATGCATCCTTAGTGTAAATCCCACACCTAGAGAAGTTGGGGGAAGGGTCCACATGTGTGGTACAGTGGTATCTGCCAACGGCCTCCAGTTTGTGCATTTTGATTCCCCTCCAGGGAGGGGGAAGTATATGGAGTCTTTTCCTCCTCCTATCTTGCCAAACTTTTTAATTTATTCAAAGAGAATATAGGTTAACTTCTTTTAATTACTGGTAAAGTTGAGGGCCTTTTTGTGTTTTTTTTTTTTTTTTTTCTCTTTAAATTCGCTCCTGGCCTCCTTCCTGCCCCCCTTTTGTGTGGCTTGTTCACCTGGGGCAGCTTTTGCATCTTGCTCTTCTAATGTGCTGCAAATACTTCCCCAGTTTGGCACTTGTGCTACAGTCTCCTTGAAGAAGTTCTTGAAATATAGAAGTTGGCAAGGTGTAGTCAGGCTCTGTGGTTTTCATACCTAGGTTTTGTGTCAGGAAGACTATTTATTCATCAAAAATATAAAAGGCATTCCTGTTTGATTTCTATATGGCATATTTTATATACAATAATTATTTAGACAAATGTATTAAAATATGCAAGGTCTATCAGGTTAATAGTTTCATAGTAATTAAGCTTTCCTCCTTTTCAAATATAGCACATAGAAATAAAACATAAAGATACAACTATCAATTTTCAATACCCCAGTGAAATTAGAAATGGTTTTTATGTTAAAATTGTGGAAAATTGTGATATACAACTCACTGATGCAAATTTACACATACTTTATCCAAAATACAGGACATAATTTTGAGCACATACAAAATCATAGGTCTGTTAATAGTTCATTAGATTTAACTTTTTTCCCTGCTTGAAATTGGTTTCTAAAGATGTTTGGTCTCTTATGTTGGCTACTTGTTTCATGTTGACTAGTTAACGTAAAAATATTTTACTATGCTATAGAACTTTTAATGTTCCATGTTTTTATTAAATAGACAAAATAATTCTTTATTTTTAGAGGAAATATCTTGTGTTTTCTAGCTATGTCTGGAAGCGGTAACAGTGAGAAAACTGGGTTTCAAAAGTGTGAGAAGAAAAATGGTGAGCTTATTGTAGCAGTAAGAGGTTTTTGTGATTGTTTCCTTAAGGGCGAAGTAAAATTGGTGCAATTCAGTTATTAAACTGTCAATGAAAGGTCAGCTGTATATGATGCATATTTCATATTGTTTTAAAAGTTAGAATATATAGGAAAAGAAAGAGTACTTTTCTTTAAGCAATATAGGCATTGAATTCTTTTTTTTTTTTTTTTTTTTTTTTTTTGACAGGCAGAGTGGACAGTGAGAGAGAGAGACAGAGAGAAAGGTCTTCCTTTGCCGTTGGTTCACCCTCCAATGGCCGCCGCGGCCGGCGCGCTGCGGCCGGCGCACCGCACCGATCCGATGGCAGGAGCCAGGAGCCAGGTGCTTTTCCTGGTCTCCCATGGGGTGCAGGACCCAAGCACCTGGGCCATCCTCCACTGCACTCCCGGGCCACAGCAGAGGGCTGGCCTGGAAGAGTGGCAACCGGGACAGAATCCGGCGCCCCGACCGGGACTAGAACCCGGTGTGCCGGCGCCGCTAGGCGGAGGATTAGCCTAGTGAGCCGCGGCGCCGGCTGCATTGAATTCTTAACTTTTGCTTTCTTTGACAGTTAACAGAGTCTGTGGAGTAGTATCGATGCTTCTCAGACTCTGAAACTCGATGTGCATTTCAATTATCTGAGAATTTTGTCAAAATGAAAATTCTGGTTCACTAGGTCTAGGAAGGCCCTGAATCCCACAATTTAAAATAAGCTCCCACAAGCAAGAAGCCAGAAAAAAAAATAATTTGTTGGTAATAAAGCCAAAATACAGTGCTTCTCCTCTATAAAGCCTTCGATATAAGAACGAACATGGGCTGATACTGTAGCACAGCAGGTTAAAGCCCTGGTCTGCAGCATTTGTACCCCATATGGGTGCCAGTTTGACTCCCAGCTGCTCTATTTCCAATCCAGGTCTCTGCTGTGGCCTGGGAAAGCAGTAGAAGGTGACCCAAGTGCTTTAGTCCCTGTAACCAAGTGGGAGACCTGGAGGAAGCTCCTGGCTTCAGATTGGCACAGCTCTAACCATTGCAGCCACCTAGGGAGTGAACCAGCAGAGGAAAGACGGACCGACCTCTCTGCTCTGCTTCTCTATTTGAAAGACAATTACATTTTTTTTTGACAGGCAGAGTGGACAGTGAGAGAGAGAGAGAGACAAAGGTCTTCCTTTTCCATTGGTTCACCCCACAATGGCCGCCGCAGCCGGCGCACCGTGCTGATCTGAAGCCAGGAGCCAGGTGCTTCTCCTGGTCTCCCATGGGGTGCAGGGCCCAAGCACTTGGACCATCCTCCACTGCACTCCCTGGCCACAGCAGAGAGCTGGACAGGAAGAGGAGCAACTGGGACAGAATCCGGCCCCCTGACCGGGACTAGAACCCTGGGTGCCAGCGCCACAGGCAGAGGATTAGCCTATTGAGCTGTGGCGCTGGCCAATTACAATCTTTAAAAAAAAAAAAAAAACAACACCAAGGTAAACACTTTCAGAATCTTCTAATGCTTCTTAAACAAAATAATTTTACCTTAAAAGAACTTGCAGGGTCCATGTTGTGGCGCAGCAGGTTAAGCTGTGGCCTGCTGTGTGAGCATCCCATATGGGTGCTGGTTCAAGTCCTGCTTGTTCTAGCTCTGATCCAGATCCCTGGTAATATGCCTGGGGGAGCAGTGGAAGATGGCGTGAGTCCGGGGCCTCTGACCTACGTGGGAGACCTGGAAGAAGTTCCTGGCATCCATCTGACACAGCCCTGGCCATTGCAGCCATTTGTGGGGTGAACCAGTGATAGAAGAGCCCTGTCTCTCCTCTCTCTCTAACTCTACCTTTAAAATAAATAGATAAATCTTAAAAAAAAAAAAAAAAACAAAACTTGCTAGAGTGTCTAGCAAATCCTGCTACAGTTTTTTTTTTTTTTTAAAGATTTATTTGACAGGTGGAGTTAGACATTAAGAAGGAGAGAGAGAAAGGTCTTCCTTGAATTGGTTCACTCCTCAAATGGCTGCTACGGCAAGCGCTGCACTGATCCGAAGCCAGGAGCCAGGCGCTACTCCCTGGTCTCCCATGCGGGTGCAGGGCCCAAGCACTTGGGCCATCCTCCACTGCACTCCCAGGCCACAGCAGAGAGCTGGACTGGAAGAGGAGCAACCAGGACTAGAACCTGGTGCCCATATGGGATGCCGGGCCACAGGCAGAGGATTAACCAAGTGAGCCACAGTGCCAGTCCCCCTGCTACAATTTTTAAGAAGAATTTTCTAAGATTTTTTAAAAATTTATTTGAAAGGCAGAGGAGAGCTTCCATCAGCTGACTGACTCCCCCAAATGACTGCAATGGCCAGAGCTGGGCAGATCCAAAGATAGGAGCTTCTTCCAGGTCTCCCATGTGGGTGCCTGGAGCCAAGCACTTGGTCCATTTTCCACTACTGTCTTGGGCACATCAGCAAGGAGCTGAACCAGAAGCTGAGCAGCCAGGACTCCAACCACTGCCCACATGGGGGTCAACATCACAGTTGCGTATTTACCTGTCATGCCACAATACTGGCCCCTTAGAAGAAATCAGAATATTTTAAGAGAATAGACCCGAGAAAAGGAATCCTTAAACTTGTACTCTTTTGTCAAGTGAGAATTGTCAGGGTCCCCTTCATGGTCCATGCATGTAAGCTTTTGTAGTTGCCTTGCCAAGCATGACTTGGAACCAGTGGGCCTGGGTGTGCTGTCAACAGTGCTGTGTAACCTTGATCTCACACCTCCACTTGTGTGAGCCTCATTTTTCTCATCTGTAAAAATAAAACAATACACTGGTCTTGGGAGTTAATGTAAGTCCTGTGCCCTGTGTGCACTGGCGATTACTGATACAATTCCTACTTTCCCTTCTCCCACTCGGAGCATGATATCAGGTGGAACTGGGAACAATCTTGACTTCGTGTGGTGGTTGGATGATGGCTGTGGAGACCTGGAACTCTTTTAGGCCACTCCCTTACCAGCATTCACCACAGAATCCTAGCATTTTTCATATTTGAGAGTATTGGAAGGCTCTAATCTTGCAACTGAATAAAAACATCTTTGAGTTTCACTGAACAGCTGTTCTTTTTTCCTTAGTGCTCACAGGAGTTACTCTGTACAGACATCTTAGAAACCACCTTCTAACTGAAGAACAGCTGCGTGAAAATAACTACCCTCGGCCCAACCCTGACAAACCTGGATGCGTTCTTTTAAATCCATGCATGACAAAAACTTCTGTAAATGATGGTAAGTACATGGAATTGAACATTCGCTTTTTCTCTGTGCTGTGACCCCAGGAGACCAGTGTCCTGATATTTCTTAGCAGAAATGAGATTTGTAGTCAGCATAATTAACCACTGATAAAAGCATTATTGCATTGCATTTGCCTTTCCATTTCACTTCATTTCCATTATCTATATGCTTCCTTTAATTTAAATGATCTGTTTTCTTGCATCCTCTTAGCAATCGATTCAGGTCAGTACTGTTATTATTCCTAGTTACACAAATGAGCGAAGTGACACTCAGCAAGGTCAGATAACTTGTCATAGGTCGCTGAGAAAATAAGTGGGAAAGTCAGAACTGGGACCCAGGGGCTCCAACTCCAGAGTGCCTACTCGTAGCCATAGTCATACACATGTGCCGTGACATGTGAATAATACATGCCCTGACAACATGAGTGCTCTAAAAACATTTGATGTCTTACTTTAGTGTACAATGCCTGGTGCCTGAACACAACCTAAAGTGTTCACTGAGAGCCAATGAATGCTTTACATCAGAATTGTCAAAGCTCAGGGCGATGACCAGAGTCTGAAATGCTATTACGAAGATATTGTTCAGGGATTAGAAGATATTCATTCTGCTTTTGTATTTTTGAAACTTCCCCCTGGGAATTTTTTGCTTCATCCTTTGAAATCCCTGAATGGAAGGCTGTATACTTAGCAGTTCAAAACATGGGCTTTGAAGGAAGTCAAGGAAATCCAGGTTTGGATGCTGGAAAATTTATCCACTGTTCCCTTCAGCTGCCTCTATGAGTGGTGAGGATGAACCCACCAGATTGTTGTGAGAATCAATTAAAATAATGTCCATAAAGTGCTTGGCCCAGTGCCTGCCCTATGCATAGCCCAGTGTGGTGCTACAGCTGCCATTGTCTGGCATTGGCTTATCTCTGGGATTGAGCAGGTTGCTGCCTGTCTAAGCAGAGGCGACCTTGGTACATAAGCAGGTACCTTGCACATTCTCCTTAGTCCTCCTGTGACTTGGAAACCTCCTGTGACTCTGATCACACAGGCTTTGTTCTTCCAATCAGATCAGAAATGCAAAGGGAGTCTCCACACTCAGGCCTGTTTTCTCCCTCATCAAGTCATGAATCCCTATACTTCCTGTTTGTTGTAGCTTCTAAGAAGATCTGTTGTCGATGTGGCAAAATATATGATGTGACTCCCTCGGGCAAACACAGTAGGGTAGAAGAATGTTACTACCACTTTGGCCAAGTACGAAGTCATAAAGGTAAGTGTTCAGGAGTTGTGTTTCATTTGTCTGGCAAGCCAGCAGGCAGGCTTGTTCAAGAGAAGTAGAACAAAATATTCCTTTCGGAATGTTTGTTAATTGCAGTCCAGGAAAGAGAAACTAGTAACTGAAGTTTCAAGTACAAGTGTCGCCTGACCACCACTTCCTGTCTGTAACCTTGCCACTCACGGCTCAAGAGCTCTCAGGCTGTGAAAATTCTCTTTTCCTAAGATCTCAAGTCAGCTGCCTCCTGATCTCGCCTCCTTTTCCCATACCAGCGTTACAGTAATGCCTTCGCTGATGGCTTCAATTCCTCGCCCTTCTCCTCCCACTAGGGCAGCTCCACTGCACTCAGAGGAAAACCCAAGCCCTGGATGGGCTGCATCATTGCTTCTCTGGGTTTCTTCTTCTTAGTTTCTTCTTCGTGAAACTCGAGTCGGTAGCCTGTGCTCAGTTTGCTCAGTTCTCACTTGCCACCTGGGCCATTCCATGCAGCCTACTTCCATGGCCTCCCCTACCTTACTCGTCTTTTTGTGGATGATCTTGATGGACACTTTCCATGAGACTACACCAGCGTCTGATGAATAAGACCCTGCTCTTCCCTCATAGAGTCACCAGCAGCTAAATCCTGTTTCCTTCTGGAATTACATTGGCGGAAGCATCCCTGTTTCTGTCGCCCTTGGTCCTCCCCAACGAAGTCTGTGTCCTGTCTCCCCTGCTCGTCCTCAGGGCCTCCTCAGGAGCCCCTCCCTGGGAGAGTGGCTTGGTCTCAGCGTACCGTTCTGGTATCTCCCATTGGTTTCGACAAACAAACCCTCCATGGCTCCCAAGTCTCCTGTGTAGCCACTCTCACCTCTCCGGCAGTTGCACTTCATCGTTGCTTCCAAGAGCTGCCTACCCAGGCTGGCTTCACTCCCCCACTGAAGCTCACGTCAGTGACCTGCAGGCTACCAAAGCTAAGGGACCCGTTTCTCCTTGGCTTTGCTGCCTTCTCGGCAGTGTCCGCTTACAGTGCACTCCTATCTCAGGTAGCAGCCCTTTCTGCCTTTGTGCCTCCCTCCTTTCAGCCTCGTCTGCTAACCACGCCTCCACACAACCTCTGATGTGAGGGATTCTCAGAGGCGGGTTCTGGGACGCTTGCTTCTTCCTCCATCCCCTCTACCTGGACAAACTCCTCATCTTCCGTGGCTTTAAATCACGCACGTTTCTGTCGGCCCTCAGGTATGTGTCTCTAAAGCACGTCTCTGGACCCCAGGCTTTGCTGTGGGCCGTCCACAGGCACCTCAAGCAATTCTGAGTGAAGACGATTTCTTGGTCCCCCTCTCCATCCTTGGGTCTTTTCAACATAGTGAATTCCCTCCCTCCTGTCCACTCAGGTGTATTTTTCACCACTCAAGCCAGAAAGCCAGGGCCATGTTCATTGCCTTCTTCCTGTGGAGCTCTTCTAGCCAAATCGGCTTGTTCTGTCTCCACAATCTGTCTGAACCTGTTTCCTCCCCACCTCTACTGCTGCTCCCTGAGTGCACCCTTGTCTCTGTGCTAAGCTACTGCAAAGGCCTCCTTGTGGGTCTTGCTGCTCTGCACTGCCCTGTTCTCTCTCCAGCATCCTCTCTCTGACATATTTTTTCACCCAAAAGCCACCAGAATAGTTTTTTGTTTTGTTTTACATCATTTTTACTGGTATCATTCTCTCCTGCTTCATTTAAAACTCCTCGGTGACTACGCCTGATCTGCATTCTGCCTGTGGACTTTATGTCACTATCTTCCTAACTTCTGGCCCCTTCTCCAGAGCCTTCTTTGCAGCTGCCACTTCTGCTTTTCACTTGACTGGTTCCTCTCATCCTTTAGGTCCCTCAACATCATTTCCTGAAGTTACTATTTAAAATAATCTCTCCCTCTCCATCTCCCTCCCTCTCTTCACTTACTTGACAGGCAGAGTGGTAGAGAGATCTTCCATCTGCTGGTTTTGTGCAGCAAAACCAAATGGCTACAACAGCTGGGGCTAGGCCAGGTTTAGAAGCCAGGAACCCCGCGTCCATGTCTTGCATGTTTGTGGCAGGAACGCAAGTACTTGAGCCATCATGCACTGCTTCCCAGGCATGTAAGCAGGAAGATGAATTGAAAATGGAGTACCTGAGACTGGAACTGGCTTAGCCCACTGCACCACAGGGCCTGCACCAGGCCTCTGTGCTGTAGTGCAGCATCCTATCACTTCCTTCCCTTACACCAAAATACACTGTGTGGTGATGGAGGAATCAATTGTCTGCCATCTGTAGAAGACTGTAAGCTTTTGGAGGGACCGTCCATTTTTTTTCTTGTTTCCCTAGTACTTAGTGTGGTGCCTGAAATCAATAAATGTTTGGATTAATGGGAGGAATTACTTACAAGGACTTGGCCATAAGTACTGAAGATATTGTCATAAATCCTATGAATAAAACAAAGTGTGGGAAAGTAAATAGATACAGTGGGAGAAAAATAATATAAACAAGACAAGTTTGATCTATTTTTAAGCAAAGATGTTTACTTTGGGGACATCAGGGACTATGGATTCCAAGGAATAATCAGAAGAAAGACACTAAAGAAAACTAAGTATAACTGACCGAGCAGTTGGGCCAATGGGGCTATGCAGAACAATAAATCGGGGACTTTGGAGATAGCAGATCCATGATTTGGAGCTGTTCTGGCACCTAATTTTTCTGGCCAGCTTAACTATGCTTCTTCTAAGCTTTTCTTACCACATTCACAGAAGGGGCTAGCCATTCAATGAGCTGATGTGTCATCAAATCCCTGGCGTGCAATGAATGTTCTCTTAATACTGTCTCTTTTCTCATCACAAAAGAAAATGATATGAGGCTGTGGGATGCGAAGATTGGGTGAACAGGTTGGTTAAATAAGAGTCTCCAATGACAGCCTGAGAAACTTGCATTTGATCAGTGACCATAAGTGAACATGAGGATGTGTAGTACTGAGGAAAGTGATAATGAAAATGCACTTTAGAAATACCAGTTTAACATTTTATAGAAAAACTAGTGCAGAGACAACTGGAAGCAGAGGGATTTGTTAGGGAGTGTTGGGAGCATCCTGCCTTGGGCTCACAGTGGATGAGAGCCTAAATAAGAAGGATGATGACAGGCATTTGTTGTGGTACAGCAGGTGAAGCTCCCATTTAGGACACCTGCTTCTCCATTTGCAGTGCCAATTCAAGTCTTGGCTACTGCACTTTTGATCCAGCTCTCTGCTAATGCACCTGGGAAGCAGCAGAGGATGGCTTATGTCCTAAAATCCCTGACATTCATGTGGGAGACCCAGATGGAGTTCCTGGTTGCTGGCTTCAGCCTGGCTGAACACCAGGTGTTGCAGCCATTTGGAGAGTGAATCAACAGATGGAAAATCTGTCTTTCTGTGTTTGCCTCTGTCATGCTGCCTTTCAAACAGATTTTTTTTTAAATGGATGATGGGAGAAGGTTAAGAAAGGAGATGGGCAGATTGGAGTTACTGCTGTGAAGAGTGTGCAGAGTTGCTGACCAAGGATGTGAAAGAAGGCATTGGCATTTGGAAGGTCTAGCCTTTCAGTGGGTGCAACTCAGTGACTTTTCTGGGATATAGGAAGGGGGATGGTGGTTATTGGAGCCAGTCATCCAGAGGGTCCCAGCAGAGAAAAGGTCAGGGAACAGGAGCTGATGCTGAGAGGAGACTTGAAAGGGTTTGACTGTGAAGGCAAGGTAGGAAACTGAAGTGAGGCCAGAATGAAGCAGATAGACAAGGGACAGTTGTGGGAGAGAGGGGAGGAGAAGAGTCCATGACATTGGCTATTACAATAAACCTTCTAAGCACAGCCCTTAAGAACTCTGCTTACAGTTGTAAAGTTTCCCTGTTCATCATGCACTATCTGAAAATATAATTTTAAGGGTGGTAACATTAGAACACATGCATGACGGAGTCCTTAATGATCTCTGGTACGATGTGACAGTGTGCTCTGGGGTGTTCGTCAATCTACTTTGTAAAGCTGTCTTGTTTGGACTCTGACTTTTTTTTTTAATTGGTTTGCAGTCCTTGATGGCTTAGAATCTCGGTACAGCTGTTGTGGAGGAGTGCTTGGATCCCCTGGGTGTCAGGAGTCCAAGGTATGACTTGTCAGCCAGAATGCTGCTTGTTTTAGAACTTGAGCTGCCACCTGCAGCACAGACCCTGGTGGCTGCTAATTTTCAGGTGTTTAAATTTGAATGAACTCAGCTGCACTTGTGAAAAACAGTAATTTATTTGGCAATGTTTGTTTTAGCTTCATGTTCATGACCAAAAAGAAAACCTAGAGGGTTTTGTGAAGACTTCCGTCAAAATCCCACCTGCTGATGGTAACTATGGCGTGTTTGCAGTAAATTGTGAGATGGTACGTTGGTCTTACATTTTACCTTGTCTGAATAATGATGGTGGAAAGATAGTACAGCAGTCTACCTGCCATAAACCTTTGAGTCTTAGCACTCAATCACACATAGCTCTGCAGTGTTACTTCACATATTGTCCTATGAAACATAGGAAACTGAGGAGAGTTAGGTGACTTGGCCAAGTTCAGGTACATAGTCGGTGCAGGGGCCAGGACTTTGCTCTTGACCCCCTTTGTGCGAATTTTTCTTTATGTATAATCACTAGCAGTTCTGTTCAACAAATTGTTGAAATTACATGGGTGGGAAATGTTATGAATATCGCATTTTTAAAACAAGGTTAGCATAAAAGCTTTAAATACTGAAAAATCATTGTGGAGACAGTAAAACATTTAAGAGTTTCTCTCCCTTCATGTAAGAATCAACACAAATGGGGTGAGGGTGGTAAAGCAGAATTTGGAATCATGAGAGCTGGGAAGTGCTAGTACTTAAAGTTGTGACACCCCCTCCCCCCATCCCCAGCAAGTCTCCTAGATGCTCTAAGCTGAGAAAGACCAGAAAGTTAATAGTAACAACTTCACTTCACAGTGATTGTGATTCTCAGACATGCTAAGACATGGAGAAGTGTTTGCCCAAGTCTAACATCATGGCATAATCAACTTCAGCAAAACATTACATTTTGGTCCCCTGTAGTATATCTTGAAGACAGATTTGTGGAGCTTATAATAAAAGTAGGATAGCCAGCGCCGCGGCTCACTAGGCTAATCCTCCGCCTAGCGGTGCCGGCACACCGGGTTCTAGTCCCAGTTGGGGCGCCGGATTCTGTCCCGGTTGCCCCTCTTCCAGGCCAGCTCTCTGCTGTGGCCAGGGAGTGCAGTGGAGGATGGCCCAGGTGCTTGGGCCCTGCACCCCATGGGAGACCAGGAAAAGCACCTGGCTCCTGGCTCCTGCCATCGGATCAGCGCGGCAAAGGAAGACCTTTCTCTCTGTCTCTCTCTCTCACTGTCCACTCTGCCTGTCAAAAAAAAAAAAAAAAAAAAAAAAGTAGGATAACACCGTTTCATTTTTTAAGGTTATATCTTTACTGGAAACAGTTAATTTTGTCTCTGCTTGGGAAGTCAGTTGTTTTTGAATGCCATTTTACATAGCTACAGTGAATTTTTAACACATCTATCATTGTATTGTCTAACAGAGTAGCCGCAAGTTACATGCAACTAAATTACAATTAAATAAAGTTAAAAATTCAGTTCCTCAGTCCCACTAACGATGTTTTCAATGTTCAGTAGTCACAGATAACTAGCAGCCATGCTATTGGACTGCACATAAATAGAATATCGGGTCTCTTCAGAAGGACCTGCTGAGTAGCACTGGTGTCTGATAAAAATAATTGCAAAGGCTAAGCCAAGAGAACAAAATGATTTTATCAGAAATACACCAACAAAAGAAAGAACTAAAGCTTGGAAATCCTTCATGGGATTCTCAGATACACCAACTGGCCTTTGCTAGCAAAACTGATAATGATTACCTTGTGTATTCCAGTTAGAAATATTCCTTTAAAATATCCCAGATATTCAAATGTGTACTTAACTTGATAACATAGATTCAGTATTGCCTCTTGAATAGTGCTATACAGTCAAAGGCTTGGAACTTACTCGAGTGACAGTGGTTGACTCCAGCTTCCAGATGGTCTGTGATACATTTGTGAAACCTGATGAAGAAATCATTGACTATAACACTAGGTATGTGTTTTTAAAGGGGGTTTGTTTTTGAAACCGTAGAACTTTGAACACATTTATGTGAAGTTTTAGCTTAGGCACATTTATTTGGGTCTCCTTTAGAACACGAGTTAGACTCTTTTCCTTTCATTCACTCACCAGCATTCACACTGAGTACCTAATGAAAGCAGGCAGACACTGTGAGGCCCTGGGTTACACCTACAAGGCTTCTGTCTTCATAGTAGTCATGTGTCTGTGGTGGGTGGGAGGCTAGAGAAATGGGCAAATGGTAATAGATGATATTATTCATTCATTGAGTGATGCATCAGTTACTTGTCAAAATGTCATATTCCCGGAGGTAAAAAAAAAATAAATAAAAAAAACTCTATTATAGAAATGATCCAAGTATATAGCTTTGATATGGTATACAAAATAACTGCTACAGATTCAATTTTATCATATGCCCTTAAGTTTTAAAAGCTTCATGTGAAACAGCAGTGATATAATTGATCAATTTTTAAATTGGGTTTCATAAAGGTATATATGTCATATAACCTAATATATTTATTTATTGAACTATAACATGGAAGGCACTGACCTTACTCTAGAGTGAACATTTGGAAGTGATCATTATTGGTATGATTATATTTATTGTTTAATTTACCTTAAATATCGAACTGTCTAATGGCACTTAAAATATCAGTTGCTTGTATAAACAAATGTGACTGTCCATAAGATACATGTACATCTATAAGTTTAGAATGTAAAGCAAGGAGATTATATAAACTAAAAATTGTTTTGATATTAACTGTGTAGAATAATTATAGACAATTCTGTGAGGAAGCACTTTTTTAAACCTAAGTTTCCTCACAATTCAGAAAAATTGTTTCGTTCCTAATGACTCAAGTGGCTATAGCCAGAAAAGCAATTTTGTGTACTAGTTCCCAACCTCATTTTATTTCCTGCCCCCTTATTTTGACCAATACCATATTATCCCCATCTGTTAAACTCTTCTTGGTTTTTGTTTTTCCAAGAATTTAATTTGATCTCTAACTTCTTTTTGAAACAAGTCAAGAAATATTTTGGTAATTATTGATATTCCTAATGGCGAAATGAGAACTAAAGGGCTTGCATTACAAATTAAATAACCTGTAAATGTGAAAAAATCCTTCAAATGCATTTAATGCATTGCCTTCTTGAAAAAGTAATTTTAAATTAACCCATGCACTCATGTACTCCAACCATGGTGACTTGCTCTTAATGTGAATATTTGATCAGCCGTGTATCGTTCTGTAAACCAGATTACGGAGCAGGTATCCTGTATTCCTTATAGGCCATAGTATCATCTTGTTAAAGTTAAATACGTTTGCAGTACTCTTCTAGCAGTAGCCGTGTTTCTGAGCACTTACTTAGTGTGTGCTTTATGGAAGTATCACTAGAGAAGTCAGTTACTGCATGTGTTTTCATTGAGTCCCCATAAACTGGTAAGATTGGTAATCATTCTGATTTTACGGATAAGACTGAGACCAGATTGTTAAATGACTTGCTGAAAATAGTTGATAGTAAGCAAATGGCATAGATATAGCACAGTTAAAACCCAGGTCTCCCAGAGTCTGCCTAAGGCTCACCTGCTCTTCCTGTCACCCGTGCTTCCCTTCAGACTGACTTGACTGGAGATAGGCTCATAACTAAATTGCATTTGACAAATCTCAGGTGGTGCAAAGATCAGAGTTCAACAGGAGCTCCTAACTGGTAATAATGTGTTTCCCCCTCAGCCTTACATTATTAATCCAAACTATAAATGTTTAACCCAGTAAATGGGTGGTTGAAAGTCATGCAAGTAAGATTTTTGGATTCTTGAGCCAGTTGTCACATTGGGTCAATAAAATGTTCTAACCGTGCCTGCTGAAATGCATTGAGTTGTGTTCTGTACTTAGATGCATCATGTGTTTTACATGGGGTAGGTTTTCTGGTGTGGTAGAAGATGACTTGAAGAACATTAGAACCTCCATCCGTGACGTGCAAGCCATCCTGCTGAACTTGTTTAGTGCGGATACCATACTAATTGGACACAGCTTTGAACAATGTCTGTATGCTCTTAAGGTAAAGAACTACAAACCAACATATTTTTACAAACTGTGTGTTAAGATGGTAGTCGTTATTGTGTTAGACTTGATATTTGGTTGCCCAGTTATCTAGGAAGTCAAGAATCATTGTCCATGCTAATGATCTAGTCTATCGCAAACCAGAAGCAGTGTGTGACAGCTCAAATAATTTGGTTAATCTAACTCAGAAAAGCTGGACAGCAGTGGGCATTTGGTCTATCTGTTAAGGCAATGGTTAAGATAACACATCCCACACTGGAGTGCCTGGCTTCCTACCCAGCGCTGTCTCCTGACTCCAGCTTCCTGCTGATGCTAACACTGGAAGGCAGCAGACCAGGCTCAAGTAGTTGGGTCCCTGCCATCCCCGTGGACCGAGTTCCAGTTTCAGCCTGACTTAGCCGCAGTGGGTATTGATGAAGTGAAACAGTTCAGGACTTGGCTCTCTGTCATTCTGTCTTTCCCTTTCTCTCCGACTCTCAAATTTTAAAGGCTTTAAACCATAGGAGAGAGAATTGTCAGTCATCAAGAATGATACAACCAAAACCATTGTTTCTATAAACTTCTTTTAATAGTCAAGTATGAATAAGGCTAAATTTATATAATAGCTTACTTTCTTCACATACTCAAGTTATTTATTTTTTTACCTTGCCAGATAGGCTTATAGATAGGATCAAAATCAAATGTTACATTCCTTTTCTTGGCATGATAAACTTAAATTTCCCCCCACCCCGAATATACTCCAAGTTAGTTGTTATTTCGTTGCTCAGTGTTCTTGAGCAGAAGTGGGAAAATATATCCCATGGGCCAGCCACCTGTTTGTGTAAGTATTTTTATTGGAACAGCCACCACATCTGTTCCTCTACATATTGTCTGTAGTTGCTTTCACGCCACAGTTGCATTGTTGAGTAGTTGTGACAGAGGAGACCTATTGAGATAGACACTGTAGTCTGCAAGCTGAAAACATTTACTTAGTCTGGCATTTTAAGAAGAACTTTCCACCCCATTGTGGAACAGCACTATCAAGCAGAACTTTCTGTTTTGTATCTGTGCTGTACAGTATGGTAAACACTAGGCGCATGTGGCTGTTGACCACTAGAAAGGTGTCAGATGTGACAGGAAACTAATTTTTTTTAACTTTTATTTGATGAATATAAATTTCCAAAGTACAGAATATTGATTACAATGGCTTCCCCCCCATAACGTCCCTCCAACCCGCAACCCTCCCCTTATCCACTCCCTCTCCCCTTCCATTCATATCAAGATTCATTTTCGATTCTCTTTATATACAGAAGATCAGTTGAGCATACATTAAGTAAAGATTTCAACAGTTTGCTCCCACACAGAAACATAAAGTGAAAAATACTGTTTGAGTACTAGTTATAGCATTAGATCTCAATGTACAGCACACTAAGGACAAAGATCCTATATGAGGAGTAAGTGCACAGTGACTCCTGTTGTTGACTTAACAAATTGACACTCTTGTTTATGGCATCAGTAATCACCCTAGGCTCTTGTCATGAGTTGCCAAGGCTATGGAAGCCCCTGAGTTCACTGACTCTGATCATTTTTAGACAAGGCCATGGTCAAAGTGGAAGTTCTCTCCTCCCTTCAGAGAAAGGTACCTCCTTCTTTGATGACCCATTCTTTCCACTGAGATCTCACTCGTGGAGATCTTTCACTTAGGTTTTTTAATATAAGAGGGGGAATAAGAGAGGGAAGAGATGTGCAATTTGGGACATGCTCAAGCTGACTTACCTCAAACAGCAGAGTTAGAAACATACCAGGGGATTCGAATTCAATCCCATCGAGGTGGCATGTACCAATGCCATCTCACTAGTCCCAGTGATCAATTTCTGTTCACAATTGATCATAATGATAGGACTAAGAACCAAAGGGATCACATAAACAAGACTAGTGTCTGCAAATACTAGCTGATAGAATCAAAAAGGGAGAGAATGATCCAACATGGGAAGGGAGATACACAGCAGACCCATAGAATGGCAAATGTCCTAACAGAACTCTGGCCTCATAATCAGCCCTTAAGGCATGCGGATCTGGCTGAAATGCCCATGAGAGTATTTCAGGCATGGAAAGCCAAGACACTCGGCGGGGGGGGGGGGGGGGGGGGGGGGGGGGGGGCGGCGGGAAAAACCTAAATGAAAGGAAACTAATTTTAACAGCCTCTTGGGACTAGCGGCTGCAACACTGCACAGACATTTACTGAGGCTGTGTGTCAGCTGCCCCAAGGACTTAACCTTCATGTAGAGAATGTCCACTCCTTCAAAAATACAGGTAAAGTCATCTAATTTTCATAGGTGAACGCCAACCATATTGTCTATGAAGCTGGTATCAAGTGTAGGATATTTGGTTCCAAAAGCAATGCTGTGTCTGAGTGGCAGATAGGACTGGAATGTGCTTCCATTAGGATCTTAGGAAACTATAAGGATGAAGGCTTGGGAACATAAGGGCATGAGGTTTCCATAAGCAAGCTCCTCAAAGATGTCCTCTTGGTTGCCTCAGGTGCAAATTTCCAAACTGGATGTTTCACTGTGACTTCCCTGCCTCTGATTCTCTATTCTCCCGATCTCCCGAACCAGAAAATCCCTAGCCATCACCTGTCTCCACTGCATCCTCGGCCCGTTTCTTCCTTCCAGGAAACTTGTGGATCTTCCTGATGTTGTTTCTGCCACCTTCTTCTTTTTGTGTCACTTTCTCAGAGGAGCCTCCTTTGTCCCCGGGCTGACTTTTCTCAATTCCCACTCCTGTTTCACTTTCCCCTGTACACTGAAAATCCCTGTTGGCAGGGGTACTGTGCCCCCCAAGCCTGGGCTGTGTGCTGTCACCCGGTAGGTGTCTGCTGAGGGAGTGTCCTGCTCCCCCTCCTCGTGCACTCCCTCCTGAGAAGCCCGCAGGTGGAACCAGGGCCTGGTGTGCAGACTGACCCAGCAAGGGAGAGCTGAGAAGTTTTCGTATCCAACACAGCAGAGTATGCACACTGCAGATCTTCTCATGAGAAATGCAAATGAATACGCACTTTGGGGACCGTCAAGTTGTCTGACCCCTCCACTGTCATTTCCCACTCCATCCCCCTCAACATTCAGTGATGATTGAAAGCTTTTTCTCGTGTTGCTCGGAGAGGATTTGGAGCTCGATGCTGAGGACTGATCTGTTCCCTTTCCCCAAGGGCAAACAAGCAGACCACTGCGATGTGACCTGATGTGAACCGAACGGAGGTGTGGCCATCTCAACCTGGCACAGCTGGGAAGAGCCTGGCTCTCCTACCCAAGTCCTTTGGGAGACTCTGTGCACTCGTGCTGCCCACTAGTGGTACTTCCAGGGCAGAGCAATGTGATTTCCAGAGTCGGACTGCTTAGCTCTCAGTCTCTTCTCTATTAGCTCAGGCACATTTCTTAACTTCTCCATGCCACCATGTGCTTTAATTATTCACATTTTATTAACATGTAAACCTTAAGCAGACTCCAATAAAGAACTGTCAGTAAAAGTGCATCTTTTTAATGTTTTTTACACCTTAAAATAATTCTCTTGCTGACTGCAGACATGAAGGCTATTTGGAAGTATTCAGAAAAATCGTAGTAAAGACCGTTTTCCCACTTAGTTTGTAGTCTTCAATAATGATTAGGAGTTACTGTTATCAAACAAGTAAGACTGCATTTATGCATCCATCATTTTCAGGATTGTTGGTAACCTGGGCATATTTCCCCCAAATAACCTTGCCTCCTTGCGTCACAAGGCCCAGCTCGCTCACATTCACCTCAATGACAGTACCTTTAGTAATTACACCAAGAGTTGTGTATAATGGGGATGATGGATTCTTTTTTACACCAAGTATTGGCAGACAGAAGGTGGCTTTCAGTTCTGGATGTGTTACATGGGCCTTCTTAAAACGTAAGCCCATTGGTCTAATGAATCTTTCATATTTAGGTGGTTTTCTTGTAAAGCCATCTCCAACAAAGCAGACTTTGGTAACCATCCTCTTCCATGCCTTCTTTTTTCTTTTTCCTGTCCGAATAACTTTTAATACTTCTGTTTCTCCCTGGGCACGAACTTTAGGCAGAGGGACTTCCCATTTTCCCGCCTTCTCTTTTCGTTTTTGTTTAATCATGTTGGAAAGTACTTTAGCTCGGGACTGTCCTTCTCTGTCTAGCAGATAGGCAGGCACTGCTCCCTTGGGAGTCTTTTCATCATTCTTTTGTTTGGTGTTTCTCTTCTCATGCATCTTGATAGTCTTTTTCATCTGTATTTTCTCAGCATGGCGCTGCTTATGGTAGAGCTTGGCCTTCAGACCAATCATCTTTTTTGCTTTCTTTGAACGTTCATGAGCCTCCCGACTTTCCTTTTTTCTCTTTTTCTCATGGTAATCCAAACGGCACCCATAGCGTTTACGGCGTAATTCAATATATTCATTTTGTGGCATGGTGACGGCCTTAGAACCGCCAGGTGCAGCCTCCTGGGTGCGAAGAAGTTCCCGACTTTCCGCCACCATGTGATTATATATGAAAAGGGACAGTAAAAATCCCTCCCTCACTAGATTACTCTGCAAAGTGCAGCAAGATAACCTAGGCTTAGTCCAGTGACTTGACACATCGTGACGGCTCCATCGTTACTTGCTGCTGCTGTCAGTATCCTTGCCCTTTGGGACGGGCTCCTGATAGCCTGTTTTCTTTGATTTGACAGCTAATTCACACTTGCGTTGTGGACACAACAGTTATGTTCCCTCATCGGCTAGGTCTGCCTCACAAAAGATCCCTTGGGAGTCTAGTGGCTGACTACCTGCAGAGAATCATTCAGGATGATGGTAAGGACCTCTTTGCCTGTCATTGCTATCGGGATCTTCAGTCTGACTTGAGCGAACAAACCGTGGCACCCCCAGTGAAGGGCTTCTGCCTGATGTGCTTAGAATGGGAGATAAGGTTCTTCTCTGGATTGTCTCCTCTGGGGGAGAATCTGAAAGTGTACGCTATGTCCATGTAAAAAGCGTCATAGGTGCACTGCTTGCTGTAGTTCTGGGTGTGCTACGTGAATGAAAGTGGCAGTTACACAGAGAACATGGTCAGGTCGGAGTTTGAACCTGGCTTTTGAATTCATGCATAGAACTTGCATTGGTATGGAGACCTATCTCTTTGGTTTGTGCTAAAGTTGGTTGGGTCCAAGTTATCTCTCCCAGTGTAAGTAATATGAGTGTGTATGTGTTTGCTTTGGTATTGGAAATATATCACAAATCAAAGAATGAAGTATGCGTTTGCCTTCTGCCAGATTGGTGTATGTTGCTCTCAGAACTTTTTTTCTGCTTTTGGTTTTTCTGATACAATACACCAAGATTATACAAATTAGACAATTACAGCAAGTAGAGCCACTGTTACCTGTTAGTGGTGTTGCCACATACATGATTGATTGGTACCTGGCTTGGAATGGAGGATAGCTGTTCATGGATGCATACCTTTACAGGCTTTTCCTATGAACAAGTAGTAGAGCAAATTGATTTTAAGCATGTTACAATTATGTTATAATTTGTAAAATATCTGATTATATCAATGGAACAAAATGCAGTTTATTCTCTGCACTAATACCATTTTGTAAAGGGTCTTTAATATCTCTGCTAAAAATATTCATATCTCAAAGAATTTGCACAAAAGCATATTAGGCAAAACTTAGGTGTTCTGTTAAATAATCTTGAACCATGGATCTAAAGTATTTCATTTAATGGACAATCTATTAAAAAAACTTGTAAAAGTTGAATAACAGTTTTCTGGGAGTAAGATACAAATGAGGAAATGAAAAATTTATACCACTTTAGAATCATTGGTCATGGTTTTTCCCTCATCTAATCTCAGACATCACTTATGATTCTCTCCAGAACTAGACTTGATGTTTGGGGTAATTTCATCTATTTGTTAAAACCATGTAACCGTATGTCTAAGCCTACTCATTCGTTGGTGTGCTTTTTCTTTCCTTCCACCTTTCTGATTCCTAACCAGATCTCTGTGCTTTAGTGCTTGATGCCTGCTTTTTTGTTGTATCTCCCTGGAATAAAGGTAATCACGTCCAGTCGCCACAAGGCTGTGACAGGACTCATTATGCAGAAAAAATGGAGATGCTTGCTCTTCTGGTAGATTTATGCAAAATAATGACCACTGGGGGTCACTATCAGGTGATAATTGTATTCTGGTAGGCGGGCTGTGCTAATTTTGTTACTAATTGAGGCCTTTGTTTTGAAAACATGTGCAGGTAACGTCACAGAAAGTTGTCTTGCGCCTAATGTGTTTTTTAATTTTCTGTACTATTTGAAGGTCACAATACTAGTGAAAAAGCAAAAGCTTGCATGGAGTTGGTCCTTTGGAAAGTGAAAGAAGACCTGAAAGGAAAGAAGATTCACCCTGCCCTAGAACATCTTTAGTCTCTGCCATGCCTCCTCAGTGATGCCGCTGGCCCCTACTGCAGGCAGTAGGGTGTGGTCTGTAATGAGCCGGGTTTCTCGACACTTCCAAAGAGAAGAGGAGGAAGAAAGTACTGTTGTGGTTTATTTATTACATTTTAAACGTTAGCTTCTCATACTGATTTCCAAAGTTGGAACTGGGGTGGGGGTGGGAGGGGCGTTCTGAGGAATGAAGTGTGTTTCGATTTCAGCTCATCTTCCTAGTGTTCCGCTTCAGATTGTGAATGCGAGTGGGAAATGGCTTCGACCTGAAGTACGAAGTCTATGACTTTGATAAAGGCCACTCCTCACAGTACCTACACTTCTTTGTGTCCCTTGAAAGCCAAAACCATCATGTTGCTCCAAGTTCTAAACACCTTTACCTAAAAGTTGTGGTTTTCTTTAGGCCTCCTATACACACATAGAAATAGACTTTTTCTCCCTCAAGAGTTTCTATTTAAGTAAATGTAAAATTTCCAGTGTACTCTGTTGATATAAAGTTTTGATTATTTGGCTGTTGTGTAATGTGTTTTTATTCTCACTGATGGGTTGTTACTTGATTTTAATACATTCAACAACTCACTGATTTTTTTAAAAGGCAATTTATATATGGATTTTCTAAATATGCTAACTTCTATATTCCCAATGCCTGAATTATCTAATCTCTTTAAGGGTTTAGGTCTTTTTTTCTTTGATTTTATGTTTTGTTTTGGATGTTGGACGGTGGCAACCACATGACTTTATCAACTCTTCTGAGGAAAAGTCCATGAATCTTCAGTATCAATAGCACTAACATACTACAGAATTACAAAGGTTTCTTGGTAAGTGGTGTAGATGAGCCTCTGGGTAGTCCATAAGACAGCCTGCTGACAAAAGTAAATTAGTTGCCTTCTAACAGTTGATTGTGATGCTATGCCCTCAAATTGTATATACACACACCCCTACCTCAAGTTTACAGCCTTGGTGTTTTCAATTTACAACTCAATCTCGGTTACCGCGGAGAAGCTTTTTCCTGCCACCACAGGTGCTTCTTAGCCATCTCTCCTGGCATGTTCTGGGTATGAACTGTATAATCAGGAAGGACCAACTATTTTTGTCCTCCAGAAACTTTTTATTTAAGGAATACAAACTTGATACATTTCATAATTACAGCTTTAGGAACATGGTGATTCTTCCCACTGTACTGGCCCTCCCGCCCACTTTCCCACCCTTCTTCCACCTCCCTCTCCTATTCCCATTCTTATTTTTTTACTGAGATCTATTTTCAATTAACTTCATACACATATGATTAACTGTTAAGAGTTCAACAAATAGTATGGAAAAAAATCTTTCTCAGTAGTTGAGACAAGGACTATTCAAAGTCACTGCTTTTCAAAATGTCAATTTCCTTTCTATGGATTACCTTTTAGGTGCTCTATTAGTTATCACAGGTCAGGGAAAATATGGTATTTATGCTTTTGGGACTAGCTTATTTCAATAAGTATGAAATTTTTCAGTTTCTTCCATTTTGTTGCAAATGAAAAAAATTTTTTTTTAAATATTGCTGTATAGTATTCCATGATGCACATAGCTCATAATTTCTTTATTCAGTCTTTGGTTAATAGCCATTTGGGTTGATTCCTTGTCTTAGCTATTGTGAATTGAGCTACAATAAATATAGGGGTGCAGATAACTCTTTCGTACGCTAATTGCATTTCCCTTGGGTAAATTCCCAGGAATGTGATGGCTGGGTAAGTGTATATTCAGATTTTTGAGATAACTCCATACTGCCTTCTATAATGGCTTTACAGACACATTCCCATCAACAGTGGATTAGGGTACCCTTTTCCCCACATCCTTGGCAGCATTTGTTGTTTCTTGATATCTGTATGAAAGGCATTTGAACAGGGGTGTTTTGTTTGTTTTGTTGTTGTTGTTGTTTAATTTCTTGAACTCTTAAAGACTCTGTTAACCATTTATCAGTTGCATAGCTTGCAAATATATTATTGCATTCTGTAGATTGCCTCTTCACTTTGCTGAGTGTTTCCTCTGCAATGCAGAGCTTCTCAGCTTGATGTAATCCTGCTAGTCAATTTTGACTTGGATTGTCTGTGCTTCTAGGGTCTTTTCCAAGAAGTCTTTGCCTATGTCAATGTCTTGAAGAGTTTCTCTAGTGTTCTTAGTAATTTGATGATATTGGATCATAGATTTAGGTCTCTGTTCTATTAGTGGATTTTTATGTAAGGTATAAGGTAAGAGGTCTTGTTTCATTCTTCTTCTTCTTCTTCTTCTTCTCCTCCTCCTCCTCCCCCCCTCCCCCCTCCTCCTCCCCCCTCCTCCTCCCCCCTCCTCCTTCTTTTTTTTGACAGGCAGAGAGGACAGTGAAAGAGAGAGAAAGAGAGAAAGGGCTTCCTTTGCTGTTGGTTCACCCTCCAATGGCCACCACAGCTGGTGCACCGCGCTGATCCGATGGCTGGAGCCAGGTACTTCTCCTGGTCTCCCATGGGGTGCAGGGTCCAAGCACTTGGGCCATCCTCCACTGCACTCCCTGGCCACAGCAGAGAGCTGGCCTGGAAGAGGGGCAACCGGGACAGAATCCGGCGCCCCGACCGGGACTAGAATCCGGTGTGCTGGCGCCGCTAGGTGGAGGATTAGCCTATTCTGGTTATTAATCCTTTATCAGTTGCATAGTTTGCAAATAATTTCTCCCATTCTGTCGATTGCCTCTTCACTTTCCTGTTTTGCTGTACAGAAGCATCTCAGTTTGAAGTAATCCCATTTATTAATTTTGGCTTTGACTGCCTTTGCTTCTGGGTTTTTTTCCAAGAAGTCTGCCTGTGCCAATGTCTTGCAGGGTTTCCTCAATGTTCTCTAGTAATTTGATGGTGTTGCATCGTAGATTTAGATCTTTAATCGATGTTGAGTGGATTTTTGTGTAAGGTGTAAGGTAGGGGTCTTGCTTCATACTTGCACATGTGGACATCCCATTTTCCATCACAATTTGTTGAAGAGACTGTCCTTGTTCCAGGGATTGGTTTTAAATACTTGGTCAAATATAAGTTGGTTTTTGTTGGGAGGCCCTTTATTACTAATCTAATTTCCATCTTGGTTATGGTTCTGTTCAGGTTTTCTGTGTCTTCATGGCTCAATTTAGGAAGATTCTATGTGTCCAGGAATCTATCCATTTCTTCTAAGTTTTCCAGTTTGTTGGCATACAACTCTTTGTGGTAGTTTCTAATGATTTTTTTTTTGTGGTGTTACCACATTCCCTTTTTCACATCCAATTTTATTGATTTGGGTCTTCTCTCTCCATTTTTTGGTTAGTTGGGCCAATGGTGTGTCAATTTTGTTTATTTTTTCAAAAAAAAAAAAGCTCTTCATTTTTCTGGTATCTTTTTTTGTTTCAATTTTGTTAATTTCTTTAATTTTAAATATTTCTTTTGGTCTACTGGTTTTGGGTTTGGCTTCCTGTTGCTTTTCTAGATCCTTGAGATGCATTGATAGCTCATTCATTTGGTGACTTTCCAATTTCTTGATGTAGGCACCAATTGCTATAAACTTCTCTCAACACTATTTTTGCTGTGTCCCACAAATTTTGGTATGCTCTATTGTCATCTTCATTTGATTCCAGAAATTTTTTTGATTTCTCCCCCTAGTGCGGACCTGAGCAATCTCTGGACTCCTGGGCCACTCTGGGCAAACTTTTTGTGACTCTGCCGTCTGCTTGTATCCCCTCTAGTCATTAACTATCCATTTTTCCCTACACAACGCACAACATCCCGCTGCTATACTGGCATCTTGCCTTCCAACAATGTTTTTTAGTTTTCTAACTTCCTCTTGTTTTTGGTCTGACTATATAATTTCCTTCTCAGATACTCTTCCTTCTGTTTCACTGATTCTGTTAAGGCTTTCCACTGCATTTTTTTATTTGTACTATTGAATTCTTCATTTTGTTTTCTCTCTAAGATTTCAATTTCTTGGGAGAACTTTTCTTGCATGTTGTGTACAGATTTCAGTAGTTCATGCATTTGCTTCTGATTACTTCTATGAATCTTAAGGTCAACATTTTTCATTTCATTTCTGGCATTTCTTCCATCTCATCATTTCGCAATCTAGTAATGAAGTATTGTGTTCTTTTGGGGGCATCATGTTGTCTTCCTTATTTTTGTTTCTTGAATTAGTGCATTTTTTATTCAGCATTTGTGGAGATACTTGTTGGTTTTTTTCACTGTGGAGTCTTTTTATCTTTGTACTATGCCTCTGTAGATTAGTGGAATATCTGCTTTAAGTGAATATCTAGAGGCATGTAGTGGGTGTGGCCAGTGAGCTCTGTTCAGTTCTCCTGGGTAAAGGGCATGTCTAAGGTCACACTCAGATTTGGTGTGGTAAATCTTTTTTAATCAGAGGGGGAGGTTTATTCTACTCAGCTGAGCTCCTCTCCTCAAAGGAGACCAGTGCCTGAGCATTAGCTCCAGTGGGTATATTAGTCTGCTCTTCCCCAAGGACCACACAGAGGATCTCTGAACTCCTCAGTGTAAGCTCAGGTTCTACAGCCACTATCCTCCCCAGGTAACCAAGGAACCCTGAGTGTATCGAGTCTCCCACAGTAACTGCCCGCAGTCCAAGCCACACCATGAGCCCTCCCACACAGCCTCAGTTTGTTCACAGTTCTGGAATAGAAGTCTCCCACAGTCACAAGCACCCATCCCCCTGTTAGTTCTCCCCACCAGAGTCAAGAATCTCTACCTAGCTGGTTGCTGGGCACACACATGAGCTGGCGCAGCTGTTATGTATGTCCACAATGGTGCCCACTCTACATCAGCTTGTTATAGGATGCTGTTGCAGGGTGATTCGGGCAGATAGAAATGTACCCTTCCTTTTTTACTCTCCTCTAGTTTAGTAGCTACACTTCCCTCACGGGGATCCAAGCCAGGTTCCTTCTAGGCTCTTCCTGCAGCTTTATCACCAGTGGCTTGGGCTGCTGCAGTCTGGTCACACCTTGGTCTCCAATTCTGGTGTGGAAGCTCTCAGCTGCTGGGGTCCTGAGCTGTGCGTGTCCACACTCCAAAAAGGTCCACTGTGCCCCTCTAATTTGCATAGGGAATCCTCTGCCATTTTATCCCTAACCATTCCCTGAGACTGAACTCCCTCTACCTTTTTAAAACTATCTTCTCCTAGACCAGAGCAGCAAGCTCCCTCCCTACTCTGCCATCTTGGAAGCCTTGGCATATAGCTCTTTGTAGTAACTGCTGATGATTCTTTTGATTTCTCTGGTGTCTGTTAAATTTCCTTTTTCATCTCTAATTTATTTGGGTATTCTACCTCCTCTTTTTTTTTTTTTTTTTTGGTTACTTGGTCCAGTGGTGTATCAATTTTGTTTATTTTTTTCAAAAAACCAGCTCTTCGTTTTGCTGATCCTTTGTATATTTTTGTTTCAATTCTGTTTATTCTCTAATTTTTTTCCTCCTACTAATTTGAGGTTTGGTTGGTTGCTGTTTTCTAGATACTTGAGATGCATTGATAGCTCATTTATTTGGTGCTTTTCCAATTTCTTGAAGTAAGCACCAGTTGCTATAAACTTCCCTCCTAACACTGCTTTTGCCATGTCTCATAAGTTTTGATATGTTGTATTGTCACCTTTCATTTTCAGAAATTTTTTGTCCTTTTTGATTTCTTCTGTGACCCACTGTTCATTCAGGAGCATGTTGTTCAGTCTGCATGTATTTGCTTATGTTCTAGAGATTCTTGAATTGATTTCTAGTTTCATTCCTTTGTAGTCAGAGAAGAGGTATAATATGATTTTGATTTTTTTAAAATTTGCTGATAATTTAATGATTAGCATATGGTATATCCTAAAGAAGGTTCCATGCACTGATGAGAAGAACGTGTATTCTGCAATGGAGTGTGAAGTTTTGTACATATCAGTTAGGTCCATTTGGTCTATAGTGTTGATTAGCTCGGTTGTTTCTTAACTTTCTTTTGTCTAGTTGATCTGTCCATTGATTAAAGTGGGATATTGGCATCAAGGTGGCATGTACCAATGCCATCTCACTGATCAAAGTGATCAATTTCAGTTCACAATTGATCATAATGATAGGATTAAGTGTCAAAAGGAGCACATAAACAAGACTAGTGTCTGCTAATACTAACTGATAGAATTAAAAAGGAGAGAACGATCCTACTTGGGAAGCGAGATACACAGCAGACTCATAGAA